CCATTTCCCAGCATCAAGAATCAAAGTAGATACGACAAAAGCACAAAATATGAATTCTCTCTTGAATCCTCGAAGCACCAGTGGTTGGTGATGCAGATAAAGACATTTTGATATTGAAGCAGACGTAGAAAAAACACAAATGGCAACACTGTTTTTCAGTTTGTGTAAAGCTATTTTTAAAGATTTATGGTGCTCCAAATTTATATGTTTTCCTAAAATAATCTCATTTCCTATCTAAATTTCCCTATGAATATTTCCATAACTCATAAGGATAATAAGCCTTATCAACTTAATGTTTAATAGTATTATGGAATTATGTGGCACTTTAATTACCGTAGGTAGGTACACGCAAGAGCCGAGGCAATCAATCACTGTTAGAAAAAAATCTTTATTTTGTTAAATTTAATTTTCCTGAAAGCACAAAATTCGTCCGACAGAAATGGAACACTAACTTTACTTTAAGCAAATTCGACCTTTATACATACATAATTTACGTTGACATTCTAGTCTTTATGCGGGTAAATATTTAATGAAAGGTGTTGACTGGCTGGGATTATTCAAATAATTTGCAGAAGCTTTGCAGCTTTAGCCTGTGAGGTTTTGTCATTTTACCGCGTGTCAAACACACGCGTAGTTTTAGTTGAATTAAATATTAAGAATTAAGGAATTGGGTAACTCCGGCATAAGTTTTTATGTTATTATGTTATACTATGTTCATTATGTTATCTATTTGATCTCAACTTTCAATTTATCTTATTATTATCGACCCCGCCCTAAAGAATAATTATTTTCCACATTCCACAAGAAATACAGTCACACAAAATATACATTTCGATCCATCAGCTTCTAATCTCTGCCACTCGCCTGCCTGCATTATTTTTAACAAATATTGCAACAAATATAATTTGATAGGTTCTAGGGCCCAGGATTGCCAATGCTCGCTATAGATCAGAATCCTTGATCCATTTTCATGATTGAACATCACAGAATTGTTAACTACTGGAATCACCGAAGCTAAACAATGAATGTATTGGGAACGATTTTTCAAACTAAATCTTGTCACATTGGACTGTCTGAGTATTGACCAGATAAAAAAGAGATCAGCAAACAAGTATGGCTAACATCTTCTTCTACACTAGGTACATTTCTGGAGATAGAATAGAGGGTGCATTCATTAATGTAATGATTGAGTCCATTGAAAAATCCATGGAACACCTGAAGGTAGAACCAGGCATCATACAATGGATAATAAAAACAATGAAAAGCAGAATCATTAATTCAGAAATTGGTGGCTATGCCATAAGGAAAAGAACAACAAGAGGGACTCCACAAGGAGGAGTGATTTCTCCACTTTTGTGGCTGTTGGTAATCAATATGATTCTAAAAACCTTTACAGAAAGGAGGATAAAATTGATTGCGCATGCTGACGACATAGTAGTACTGGTGAGGAGCTTCAGCTTCTCAACCATCAGTGAAATTATGGAATGAGCATTAAAGGAATTTGCAAGATGGGCAGAAGATTAGAACAAATTGGGAGTAAACCCTCAAAAAATCAAGTTAGTCCTGTTCACAAGCAAATACAGCGGTTGGGGGACAAACCCTCGAACTATCAATAGAAGCGAAGTATCTGGGAGTCGTTCTTGATTCCAGAGTCCCGTGGAAGAGGAACACGGAAGAAAGAATGAAAAAACGCCTGAATGCAAATATACCTACACTATTCTGCAAAAAATGGGGACTGCAACCACACATCGATTGGATGTACACTGCGATAGTGAGACCAATTATAAGCGGTATACGGTAGTGTGGTCGAAAGCTATTAACAAAAAGGTGAACTTGAAAATTCTCACCAAAGTCACAGCACTCGGTACAACGGGAGCAAAAAGAAGCACACCACAGATGGCCTTATTAGTGTTTATGCTCTAATTGCCAATAGATTTATTCATCAGAGACAAGACGCAGCTGCAAAGGTAGCTCCTAGACTAAAAGAATCCAAACTGTGGAAGGAAACCGATTATAGACACTAGAAAATACTTAAGGATACAGCCAAAATGATAGACCACCAAGATGCTGAATCATTCCTCAAGGTAACGGACTACATAGTGGCCAAATATTCTTTCGAGGACAGGATAAAGATCACTATGCTCCAAGAGAAGATTGGGATCGAACCCCTTTACATAGGAAAAATGAGATAGCAATCTTCACAGATGCCGCAAAAACCGGTACAGCAGCCGCAGTATACTCAGAAGAACTAAACACTCAAGAGTCATACAAACTCAGGGATGATTGCAGCATCCTGTAATAAATAATTGCTATTAAAAAGCAGCAAGGCTAAGGGGATGCGATGGGCAATGTCACCATATATGTGGATAGCAGAGCAGCGCTGAGGCTACTAGAATCACATATAGTGAAATCAAAAATAGTGATGAGCTGCCAACAAGCATTGTCCTGGATCAGGAACAGTAATGTCGGACTAAGCTGGGTTCCTGGACATAGTAATATCGAAAAGAAGGAAATGGCAAAGCTGGAAATGAAAAAGGACCGAGCTGAAACAGACGAATCATCACAAGCAACGATCAAACTGTTGAAGGATGCAGCTGCATAGCAGAAGATGGCGCAATTGCAATGACTGCGTAATATCACGAGCTCTGTGGCCGTACGTGGATATAGAGAAAACCAGGAAATTATTGAAACTGGATGAAAGATCGATGAGCACCTTAGTAGGGGCAATCACAGGACTCTGTGAAGTCAGAACAATACCTCATAAGTGGGGCCTCGGGACCCATCAACTATATCAAGAATGCTTCGAGGAGGATGGAACAATAGAGTACCTACTATGTCACTACCGAGCCCTGCAGGAGGAACGCCCACACCATCTGGTGCAAAGTTTCCTGGAGGACCTGGAAGACGCGGGAAAGATAGGGGATAGGATAGTGAACTTCGTAAAAACCATGCACTGGCACAAAACGAAGAAAGGAGCAATAGGTTAAAAATTTGGGAGGGAATTATCCTGAAGAAGGTATGACAATGGGCCAATAGGCCTCCGAGTGCAAGCTTTACAACCCTTTACGACCTAACCTATACCCTAATATATTTTCCTCTGTATAAATATTAACCAGAAAAACTTGATAGTCGTGGTCGCTTCGATTTTTGTCATTGTCATTTATAATTCAGTGTGTAATATGCTGTAAGTTATTTTCCTTATACGCTATATTCTTGAAGGATGTAGACGGAATCGGAGTTAAAAGTTCAGAACCTTTTTATGGCTTTTATACTACCGTGTAATATTTTGAGCTCGAAAACCATCCTGCTACTCTAGACAGAGGCATATTCTTGTCAACTTTCAAAATTGAATGCAATGGACGGAAATATGCTGAGAAAGTGGTTTGAAGGAATAATTAAGGTGAACAAACAACTAGAGCGTCAAAGCCAAAATAATGAACTCAGGGTGAACAACAAACGAAATCAAGGTGCACACAAACGAATGAAGGCGAACAAAACTCAGGTTAACACAGATTTGCAATTACACATTCAACATTAATGGAAAAAGGTTGACCATTGGTAACATTGATCAATATGTAAATGTACAACTCAACTTTACATGTGATTAGGTACTAGCGAAAACGTTAATGTTGTGTAATGACGGGAAAAATAGACCCGTAATTTACAATGTCTTGACAGTAAAAATTAAATGTAATCAAATAATCAAAAATTGAATCTCCAATATTTCAAATCAGTATCAATAACTTGAAAGATGATGAAACAAATTAGCATTTACCAAAATTAATTAAAATATTTAAAATACGTTCAAAATTTTATCAGTTAGTCATCACATAAATCAAATCCATAAAAATAATAAAATCAAGGTAAAACTGATTAAATTGGTGATTTACGGCCGACAGGAGTTTTCAGCATCCTTTGAGTTATTCGTCCTCACATTCTTACAACAAATCTGTTGACCCCGATAATCCAGGAAATTGCGACATAGTTATTCGGTTTTAAACAAATGCAAATATTTCTTAGAAAAAAGAACGGTCAATGAATTTTAGATGATCTGGAATATTCTTGGGGGAACGAAAAATATAAAAATAGCAGTTTCAAAAGTCTTCAGACCAGTCCAGTTTAAGTCCAGTTAAGTCTTCAGTTCAGTCTTGAGTTTAAGTCTACAGTACCTAATGAGTTAGTGCGGATAAAATTCGCGAGAAATTTATTTTATTTTTTTGCCTCGGGAAAACGCGTTAAATCGAACCTTTGAAAAAGTAACGGAAAATTGTGAAAAAATTAACATTTAAATTCGTTCAACATTATATGCGAGCTCTAAATAATTAAAAGAAATTAGTATAATTAAGTGACTTTAAGGGCGATAATTTAAATGTAGGTAGGTACTCTAGTGACAAGTTTTATTTTGACTTTATCAATGTTGAAATGATTATACGAAATGAATTGTACTGAAGAGTTTGGATAATCGAATTAACTATTTTGTTCCGTCCAGAAAATGATTAGTTAGATATTTTGGTTTCTAATCAAATGAAAATGTGTTTATTTTCTTATTAATAAAGTATAACCTTAACTTAACGGATAACCATATAAATCAGTTGTTTTTTTCAATTGCGAATAGACCCGCCTCCACAATTTTATTTTTCAGTAGCTGCCTAAGGAAATAATTACCATCAAATACGACCGCTCGCAATTTACCATCTAACCTAAATAATAGAGTACTTGGCTCGGATGCTACAGTTGCTATTAGCTTGGCAATACAGTTTGGGAAAGATATTACCATTACTTACATTACGGAACATTACTGAACGATAAAACTAGGTTCTTATGACAATAAATTATAATGAAGCAAAGTAGGTAGGGGCAGGTACGATCTTCCAATGTCGAAAACTATCTTAAACAAGCTGAAATTGCAAAAACGTATTCCAAAATGTTTTCTATTTTACCTTTTTGAACTCAACCTGTGGTGAACTTTCATGTATTTTGATTGATATTGTTATTTTCAGGTGATTTATGCCGTCCGCTAAACTGTAAGAAAAAAGAAATATGTCTTTTGGAAGACTCCTTCACAGCTGTCTGTGTTTCAAGAAAGGAACTGAAGAAAAATGGGTAAGGGCTATAGTTATATGTAAACATACTAAAATGAAACTAATTGTCAATTTGTAGCGATATTGTCGTTCCAAAATCTAGCACAAAATCAGAAGACTCGAAATCAAAAGACGAAGAAGAAGACGACGACGTTTTTTACGATAGCGAAGACGACACCGACGAAGAAGCTAATGATGATATTAGCGACTCAAATGTGTAAGTATAATTATTGTTATAATATTTTGAATTTCAAAAACGTTTCAACATAAGCGATTTCCAGTGAAAGCCGAAACACTTCCATATTGATCGATTACTAATAAATTTAATAGCTATCATGGACTGATAATCCGATATTCTAGTTTCGGGACTAATTAATTCCATTTGAAAGGGGACTCTTGTTGGGATCATATATCAATTATTTGTTAATTTGCTCATCATTGTGCTTAAAATGATTTACATATTTTGTTTTAGATGCCGTCCATGTCCAGTAGTCAAACCCATTTTTCTTTGCGGCTCTGACAATCGAACATATAGCTCTCTCTGCCGGCTTGATTACCACAACTGTATACACAACACTCCCATTAAGTTAGCTTGTAAAGGATTTTGTCCTTGCAAAGGTATGTCTTATAGATATTAATATCACTTTATTCATCAGGGTGCTTTTGAACATATAAGTACCTAGGTAGATACTATCACAGTTTCCAAGTTCACTAGAACTCATTTCACAAACAATGGGAACTTTTGAAGAACTAATTGACTTGACTTGAAAATTCACTAATCGAAACACACGCGACAAATATCGAATTAAAACTGACCTATTTAAACTAAGTTCAACAAAGCTCTTAACTAGGCTGACCCGCACTTACTACCCGCTATTTATAGCAGACAGTGTACTCGTGATTTATCTAGAAAAACCTGGCTCCTGACTTCAATAGAATTCTCCGAATTGTTTACGCAACGCGCATTCTTAACCATAACCATCTCTTTGCCTGTCAAATAAGTGGGCTGCGTCCTGAACGCAGCACCTTAAGGGCCCCTCACACTAAGTTCTGTCTCGTCGTGTTTCATCGCGGCGATGAAAACCGACGAGAAAGGTTGTAGAGAACGCTCGGCCTTCCTGACTTCCCGGATCTACCCTCATGTATGCGTGGCACCTCTTCTCTTGAATTGACGTTATGGATACTAGACGAAGACGGCTATCTATGGTCCTATTCCCTGTTGATTGTGATGCTGCCAACTATCTTTCCGGCGCTTTCGTGAATGGTCGCAGCACTCTTCATGGAAATTCGTTAGATCTATCCTCGGCTTCCCTATATAATCTCGAAAAATGATTCGAGGTCGAGGTCTCTCTCTTCGAGCTGCTGTCCACTTTCCAGCTATTGGGGACTCCGTTCTTGATCCGTATCCAATCGAAAGCTTCTAACAGTAAGTCACCAAATGCGGCGAATGTGGATTTCAAATTCGTGAAGGCTTTCTGCAGCTTCTTGTAGCCTTGTTCTTAGCTGTACCTGGTAAAGCAGTCTTCGGTGTCGATATCCATACCGACGCTCTAACGCATCGACTATTGCTCCATTGTTGGGAAGCAGGCGGAACAATCTCTAAAAGGTCTAAGGCAGGGCCATGCAATGCTACAATCAAGCCTGTAGCCATGTTATTGGAGCTCTAGCCATTAGCCATTGCAACAGTCTTGCACTGAATTCTTTACATGGCCCACGATGTCTGTCCTTCATATGGTGGTGCCTTAACTTTTTTACAGGCGAGTCTGAGACATTTCCTAACCTTAGTATCTTAGATCAACGCATTTTGTATTCAATTGACAAAAAAACACAAAATGTTAATAAACACACCAAAGTGAATTGAGAAACATTTTGACACTACTTTAACACTTCGCGATAGAAATGAAGTCGTAAGTGCATCTGACTCTGACAAGAAACAAATTCGAAAAAAATTAGTATACCCATTTTTTCATCTTCATTTTTTATATTATCCCACAATGAATACAAAATATTTATACGATATTTTTCCGTCAAAGTTTTTTCGTTGAAAAAGCGCAACACTCTCCCTAAAATTTGCGACACAAAAGTCTCTATTTGTCATTTTATTATGGCTAATAGTTCCAACTGTCGCTGGCTAAAATTCAAAGCCGACGGAAAACGTGCTCTGGGCACAATAGCACAACACACCACTTGGTGTGACTTTTATTTATAAAAAGCTCGATTTTTGGCATCGGAATCGTGTAGAATAAAAGATGTCTTTATGCGAGGCATAGCGTAAATTGTTTTATGGCTGAAAGCTTTTACTTTTTGAGTTTATAATTTGGAGTTTATACATTATGTAATCAATATGTTCGAAAAAGGAACAATTAGTAATTTGACTGTCATTTTTTTTTGCTAGTGTTTCCCATTGTTTGTAAATCATCCCACTATCATCCACGTTGTTAGCTACCTTTTCTATAAATTCTCTCCGTCTTTTTCGTGTCGGCTTTCCACAATGCTATAAATAGTTCCATCCTTAGACGTTCCATCAATACGGCTGTTTCAACTGAGTTTTACCTATATGTTCTACGAATATTCTGAGTTCTGTAACTCAGTAAAGCCGTTCATCAGGTATCAATCAAGGTTTCTGAAGTTTATTCTTGTAGTTTGTACTTGATAGCGCTTCGATAACTTTGATTCCAGCTTCACTAGGAGGTTCTCCGTTTGGGTTTCTCGGCATTGGCCTGGTTACTGATGCCCTTCAACAATACAAGACTGCTAGTTCAAACTGCTCAGAGTTATAGATCACTAGGATTCAACCTATTCTGCCTTTTGAAGTGATCTATATGAATTATATGGATGCAATACTACGGTTTGGTAAATCAAATGAGACTGTTGTTCTCATGCTGGGGTTTTGTGTTCTAAGCACGCGATACATGTGTCTACTTATGTATACTTTTATATGTTTAATATTTACTCATTCTGGTAATTCTTCATTATCTTCTCTATTATCTTATTCTCAGCTAGATGTCTACGGTATAATTCTCAAATTTTCTACACAGCTAATTTTAATCCTCGAGTTAATCCCAGAGAGCGTCACAATAGAGTAATTAAAACAATTTTACGTATCCATGTTCGTCCAGGATAATCATAGAACACCTTAATCAGATTGGTTGTGCTATTAGAATGTCACCTTCAGTGAGCTTACCAAACATAGTCCCTATTTCATCTTATTCGGCAGGGAATACAAGCCGTGTTATCATGATGTTCCTTTACAATTTTCCATTTTTTTTTTTGCCTACGAGCCATTTTAGTTTTTCATCTTCTTTTCTGGAAGCTCGTCCATTCCTAACTTCATGAACAGCTCTCATTTTCGTCTCATCTTCAATGTATTTTTTTTAAATATGTCCATAATGCTCTGTATTGTTGGGTTAGTTCTTTGGATTAGATATGATGTTTTTCTTCTAGGCTATTTTATTATAATTGTATTCCTGCTCCTAAATCTGTCTCTTTGCATTTCTCTATCGGATTTCTCGATAAGTCATCCACTTAGGCCTAAGGTAAGTTTACAATCTCTCCAAAGCCGAGATATTAGGAGCATGAGGTGAGTTTGAACCTATAATGATCCATGCTGTTCCAAGTTCTTCTACCATTACAGAGTAGTTTTTGTGGTTGATGCAGATGAAATTCTGTCAATAGTGGAGTTCGATTAATCCTAAGCGAGCAAAAAGATAACAGGCCCACGTTATCAGTTTTGAAACTTCAAATCAAGGTTCACATGGGCTTCTGCCCACAGTGTAATTTTTCAGATCGCGGAGGATTAACCGAACTCGCCTAATATAAAAACGCTCTTGGGTCATCATTTATAGTGTTCTGTTAGGTGTTATCATCTGTTATTTCCGTTAGTGATGCTATCGTGTAGTGAATCCGTGTTTTCATTTGTATTTTGTATTCTTATGCCTAATTTATCTAAATTTCAGTTATACTAGCAACAGATATCGATATCAGGTTTATGGTATCTCTGTTATGGAGAGCGACACAACACAGACTTCTCTCTAATAGATGGATGAGCTGCCAGAGAGCTGTATTCTTTTACTCTCTTCTGTCCACCATTGCGATTCGTTCGGTATTTTTTCTTCATTCTTTCACTTATTGTGTATTCAAACATTTCCTTTGATTATTTTGCCTGTAAATATTTGCATTTTTGATAATTTGTCTCCATTATTGCCCTATTTTTTGTGGTGTTTGTATAGGGTATTCCAATAAGAGGTTTCGAAGGTTTTATTTTCCTACTCTTCTTGTCTCAAACTTTGTTTATATTATTCGGTTTTTATTTCATTATGGAATTCAGTACAATTTCAGCAATGGAGCGCTACACGGTAGAACAACGTGTTTACATTGTTAAAACGTATTTTTTAAATGGGTCTTCTGAGAGAGTCACGTTTCGGCAAATTTGTGAATACTTAACGTGTACGCAATCGTCCGTCAGAAGTAACCATTCGTAAAGCGTAGATTCAAAACTACCGGATCTGTGCAAGATATCCAAACAAAAGTCCGGGAACGTCCTGCTCGTTTGCTTGAAAATATTCAGGCGCTTCTTGAAAGTATGGCTCAAAATCCACAAATGTCTGTTGAAAGGCGCGCGCAATATATGGGTATCAGCAAAACTTCAACATGGCGAATTTTGACAAAAGATTTAAGGCTACATCCTTACAAAATTCAACTAGCACAGGAGCTAAAGCCAGCCGATCATGAGCGACGCCGTGCATTTACCAATTATAGTGCAAAACTTCATCAAAAGAATTGTGTGCTGCCAGAGAAGTCGTGGTGGTCATTTGGCAGATATTGTATTCCACGATTAATTGTACACTGTCCAGCTACGCACTACCATAAATAACTTTTAGGTATGTTATGAAACTTTTATTTTATTCGTTACCAACATTCGAAACCTCTTATTGGAATACCCTATAGTTGTAGAGTTATTTCTATCTACAATAATTATAGGTAGATAGTCTCATATTATGGCCATTAATGGGGACCTAGTTATAAATGTTTTTGTGTAGAAGAATAATTATTGTACGGTAAAAATGACTTGTACTTTCCAATCACTGTATATCTTACTTTCTTGGCTTGAGCTGTTGAAATCACCTAATGGACATACCTATTTGTTCATTTCACTTAACTATCACATAAACACCCTTTTCTTCTTTGCCTCGATCGCAAAACAAGAAGTAATTTATAGAGTTGTCCACTCACTTTTACAACCCTTAAAGCATGTTCATTTGAATTTTAGCGAGAGCCAAATTTAGTTTACAAATGGAAAACGTCCATAAATCTAAGAAGATTTAAAAAAGTACAAATTGAAAAGCAACAGGCAACAGGCCTTAATCACGTTTCGCCGCCTGAATTTTTTTTAAGTGGGAATATTTAAATCAAGAGCAAAATTTGGAGTGACACTCATTAGGATCCACTTTTCTTTGTTCTTGTCAGGAATTTTCGTTTGTTTCATTAAAGTTTTATTGCATTTTTTCTGGATTTTTTCGTCACTTTATTTGATTCCGTTAAATTGTTGTCAATTATTATTCGAATTGGAATCGTAACTACCTCAAATATCCTTCTCCAATTAGCTCCTATAAATTAATGCTTCGAAACCCCATAATATTTTATTAAAATCTTGGCACACACGACAATACACGGCATTGTATTTTGTTGTAGCCCATTTCAGTTTTTTTTTCCCGTAAGGCATTATTTAGATACCTACATTGTTTTAAAGTGAATTTTGAGCCAAAACTGGATTCAGACTTCTCGATTCTCGACTGGATACAATTCACCTTCAGGCTGTAGGAAAACAGAAGATAAGATAACTCCGATGAAAATTGATATTTCGAATATATATTTTCTACATGGGGTGTGTAACAAGCAATCGATACAGCTGAAAGTGTCCCTATATAAAGAATAGTTTTTCGTGATTCCATTTTGACTTTCTGGATTATTCTCTTGAGAGATTTAAAACATTCGAACCAAGGGGAATAATAGGTTTCAATTCTCTTCATATTTTCCATATAGAATCTAAAACATGTCTGTTCTAAAAGCGTACTTATTTCTGGTTTTTAATTACTTCCTAACACTAATTGCTCGCGCGTTTTTGTGTCGCGTATTTCTAATTGAAAAATATTGATGGTGGTTTTACACTACGCTGCTGATACTTGAACAACTCATTTTGAAAGCCCACTTGTGTTGTATGCAACAATAAAACGACAGGAGTGATACTAATTATATTTTGCAGCATTTTTACACTGAACTTATCATGATCAATCAATAAAAAGTTTTGTTTTACTGTTTTTGACTTATGACAATAAATATAGGTAAATTGAAGAAACAAAAATCGATTTTTGGAAAGTATTGTACCTACCAAGAAAGTACCTAGATGTAAAAAATTCAACTAATAGATATCCTTCCTTTGAGATCCGATTTTTAATCTCAAGACCAGTGAAAATATATTTTTATCGAGATCTGCAAACTTCCATCCACTAATTCTATAGTTCATTTTTCAGAACCCGACACGAAGTCACGGAAAAAACAGCGTCAATCCGAAAGGCTCAACAACTTTATTAGCAAGTATAAAGCTACTCTGGACAAATCCGGCACTGGCGGATCTATTAGTTCCATCCCAGACAAACCGCCAGTGAAAACTGATGTTTATTCTTACGTTCCACAAGATATTAAATACGACAACAAACATTATAAGTACATCAAGTATACCAAGTATAACAAGGTAAGTTTATGGTTGCTATTCAAATTTTATCTTTTCTAAATCAGTTTGAGTGCATGGTATAGTCCGACAAATACCATTTTCAAGTCACGTGATACTGGTGACAAAAAACGTATGTCCATTGATTATGTCGTTCATATCACCTACAAAATGCTACTGGTGATTAATTACTATTGAATTTTAGAATATGTTCCCACTAGCATTTTACAAACGCGTTTCTGAAGTAGTATTAACCAATCAGAGGGCAATTTTAATACTTGCAATTGTTGCGAGACTCACTTTTGTCGTATCTGCTGTCTGTTGTAATACATTCTGAACTTAAACTGGGTACCCGTTTTTTATTTGCTTCTTTTCGAGTTGGAAAAAGGTTAATATAGTCAAAATTATTAGCTGTGTTTATTGTATTATTTTCGAAAATAACTTTGACAAACTAATTGATGACAGTGACGGATTCTATTTCAGGTAAGAATATTATGAAGAATAATTAGACAGCAATTTTTTTGTCAATTTTACTATCACCGCTGTTTGAGATGGATTCAACAAGGATAGAGAAAAATCACGTGACTTTAAAATGGTATTTGTTGGACTATAGCTGCAATATTGTATAAAATAGCCAGACTGGGATCAGGCACCTGATGCTACAGCACAAGTCACTGAGGAACTAGCGTTATTGCCTCGAAAATGCTTGTTTTATGAAATATTGAAATTCGAATCCTCTCGTTTAGAAATTATGGTGTTTGCTGAAGACAGTAATGCCCAACTTACAATATGCAATTAAAAGTATTTGATTGTAGTAGGTGATGTTGTACGTACAAATTCTGTTGTAGGTCGATCTCAACGAAAAATCATGCATATCAAAATATTCTGTCATTTGTCTGTTCTGAAGATGTTGACTTATCTTTCATATTCTTTCTTAACCATATTTACGATTCAATAACATGATCTTTTATTTTTATTTCAGTTTGTGAAGTTATGAAATAACTAGAAACTTTTCTTGAGTAGTCGTCAATAAATTTGAGCATATATCTTTTATTTCCCGATTCGATGGGGATTGGATCACATAAATCAAAATGGATTATGTCCAATTTATTTTCAGCCAACGTTTTATTTTTCTTACTATAGGGAAAGGATTATTTAACCATTTACTGCCAATGCAAGAAATACACTGAGAAGCATCTACCTATAGCATTGCCTTTAAGATTTATGCCAGTAACTAAGCCGTTTTTAAGTAAATTTACGCTTAGTTGATTCAAATGAGCCATTATTTTCCAGTTTCATAACCTCTTGATGCTAAACAATGCATCTGAAAATTTCAAGGACACACTGATTGCTAATTTCAGCTTATACACAAGATAACTTTGTAGTAACCTAAACTTTCCCCGGAGATTTTAAATTTGAATGATCAAAAAGTTTACAGTTATTGTTAAAAGAGTCTTAAAGACATAAGGAAATTTTTTCGCCTATATAATCTTAACCCAGATACTACTTTTAAACTTGATAATATATTTTGAAAACACTTTTTTTTCCAGGACAACAACTTCCTTTACGGCAACGATAAGGAAAAAATGCGAGGGTTTAATGAAGTAACTGACGATAAGGCTTATGGTAACGCTGTCATTGGATTAGATCCCGCTTTACCTATCTCGAAGCAATGCTCCTCTTCTGCCTTGCAGGCAATGGGTAATCGATTACTCGATTGGTTTTCGGTTGTTATGGCCGATGCGTCAAAGAGAAGACGACCCAGGAATAAATCAAAAGGTAATAGTAGTATGAGTATGGTAACAACAGTATGGTAACAAATCAGCTTAAGACTGAAACATGAAACTTATATAAGTAATAGTTATAGGTAGGTAATACATGATATCAACAGTATATTACATACCGAGGTAAGAAAACAAAAATTTTCCTGCTTCTAAGCCACCAAATTAATGCGGCTCTTCATATATCGATAGGGGCCTATCGAGGTGTCGTCAAAGCCAGTAGAAAAAACTATATACCTACCTACTTCTGGAGGAAAATCCTTTTCCATCCTTTGATAATAATGCCCTCCACTTCGCATCGTGCATCAAACTATCCACATAAATGATTTAGTATTATGTGTTAATAAATTTGGACTCAACGTCGAAATTTAATAACATGTAACGGCACGAAAATTTTACATTTGCAAACAAAATCACTCGATTTATTATTGTTTTACATCTTTACAACTAACCTAAACTAAGGGATTGGTGCCTCTATCAAAAACACATTAAGTCGGGAGTTTATGACATACCAAATACTATTGACGACCTAGAGCTAATCTCAATACAACTAGAGCCTACAATATCTGCTTTTAAGAAGAGCTATCCTGATGTGAAACATTGTGTGAATAAAAAGATCACTAGCAGAAGCGTGCCTTAGTGGAATAGCCAACTTAGCTCACCAAGGGCTGAAGCAAGAAAACTATTCAACAGGTGAAAAAATTCACGAAACGGGCATAATTGTTTCGTATGTGTTGGTTTCTATGTTGATCTATTGTAGCCTTCCTCATGCTGCTAAATGCCGGTTTTCTGTTCAAAGCTGCCCGTCTGCTCCTAAGTTCTTCAGGAATCTCGGGATATCCAGTAGTTCCAGGGATGAAATATCTTCTATCTGTATAGGGGGGTTTTTCATCCCTAAACGACGAAGGCATCGTAGTTCATTCGTTCATTGGATGGTAGTGAGGTGTCTCTTCTCCATCATCACAAAATCTAGAGGTAGGTAGTGCAAATAAACTGCCTACTGCCACACGCCTACAAAAAGTTCACAGCAACGCCATAGGACTTGTGCAGTAGGAAATTATACACGGAACAGAGAGAGAAGTTTGACTTTCCTAAAAACATACTTCCCCAAAACTGAGTCTATAGAAAATCAGGCAAATGGTTACCTGAGAACATGAAAGGTACATCATCCAAAAAAAGCAGGAGTAGACCCTGTCAGACAGAATTTTCATACCCAAAAAAATTAAATGGGCATTTAATTATTTTGAGGCCCACAAATCAGCAGGTGGCGATGGCATTATTCCATCAAAGCTGCAATTCCTAAGCTCGTAAAGCTACATGGAGCCATTACATGCAATATTTTCCAACAGTATCGATGGAAGTAAGAGTGATATTTATACCAGAGGATGGAAAACGCCTAGGGTGCCTAAATCATATGCACCTATGATAGCTTTCCTCTTTTCTCCTGAAAACATCGGAGAAAACAAAAAAGATGAGCATTCCAGAAGTAACAACCGAATACTTCACTACAATGACCATGCCTACCAAGGAGAGGTAAGTCCACTGAAACGGAGTTACACAATCTTTGAGTAATCTTGAAAATGCACCTCGGGACAAAGACATAGCACTTTGTGCTAGACATAGAAGGTGCCTTCGATAACATTTCGTATGAATCTGTCGAACACGCTGCCTTAAGAAATAGTTTTGAATCATCAACACTTAGGTAGGTACAGGCCATGCGTAGGAGCAGAATCATAAAGTTCTCACTAGGAGAGGAAACGGCAATGATTACTGCAACAAGGGGTTGTCCCCAGCTTGGAGTACAATCACCACTCCTATACCATCAGAGGCAAGCAAGCATGGTAGTGTAGTGACCCGGAAAAAATAGACCCGTAATTTACAATGTGTTTACTGTAAAAATTAAATATAATCAAATAATCAAAAATTGAATTTCCAATATTTCAAATCAGTATCAATAACTTGAAAGATGATGAAACAAAATAGTATTGACCCAAATTAATTAAAATATTTATATAGGTACGTTCAAATTTTAAACAAGCCATCAGTGACCAAGCACGTGTCATCATTTGAACTCATAAATAAAAACCCGGAAAAAATAAGATACAAGGTTAAGTACCTAATTGAATTAGACCCAAAATGACAAAAATTTCGAACAGATTGCATCATCATCTGTATGAGAAACTTATATTTTTGGAGTAATATCTAGGTCGACCAATAGAATTGAATTATAGATGGTCAAACGACCGCCCATATTGTCGATTTTGGTGGGTATTTAATAATATTTTGGGGGGAACGGAGAATATAAATACAGCGGTTTTAGAAGAACAGTGCAGTTTTAAGTTTAAGTTCAGTCTTCACATCAGTCCAGTTCAGTCTACAGTTCCTAATGAATCAGTCCGGATAAAATTCGCGAAGAGTTTATCTTATTTTGTTGCCTCGGGAAAACGCGGTAAATTGAATCTTTGAAAAGTAACGGAAAATTTAAATTCGTTCAACATTATGTGCGAGCTCTAAATAATCAAAATAATTATTTTAAATCAGTTTCGCCAAAAGAAGAATTTCTCATCCTAAGTAAATCTGAGCTAAAGAAAATGCGGCTGGCTGAGAATAACAAATGCAGATTCTGCTCAAATGCTGCAGAAATAGCAGAGCATATTCTTACAATGCGAATGTAAAAAATCTTGTCGTCAGAAGGATTTTGGGCTTTATCAATCTAGAGATCAAAAATTAGACTAGTCTAGGTCGCAGTGAGAAGAGGCCTTCGAGTCTATTATACGTTTCACCTACAGTCTTTCTAACCACCACAACTTAGTACTGTAGATCCTGATAAACAAAATAATCTAGGCGTAAATTGCCTATAGCTTCAGTCGACTTGGCAAAGGATTGCATGGCCTCAGACTCACACCATACTGCACTTTCGTTCAAGAACCCATCTACGTCTATTAATTTAGGAAGTGTCTTGAAAGTATTTCTAAGGTACTTTCAACACTTACATCATAAATAACTATTACATACAGAATAATTTCCAACGAAGTTATGCTTAAATTGTTATATTTTGATTTTTGTTTCAAATTTCAGATCATTTTCCCTTAGCATGCAAAGGAGAAGTAAGATGGATGTTTCAACATCTCGACGAAAACGGCGATTCAAAGCTTTCCCTACAAGAACTGTACGATTTGGAACACGATCAAGGGGAAGTCTGTCTCAAACCGTTCATACAACAATGTGACATTGACAAAGATTTGATTATTTCGCCTATGGAATGGTGCAAGTGTTTCCAGAGGGCTGAGAGACCTTGTGCGGCAATACGACGTAAAATTACTTCTGATTTATTAGGTAAGAATGCAGTGAATCCAATATGATTATTTTTCTAATTATATCATATCTTTCAATGTTTTTCTAGGTGCATACGTTCCTGAATGTGACATCCAAGGGTATTATAAGCCGATTCAATGTCACAGTGCTATTGGTATGTGCTGGTGCGTGGATAAACATGGTGTTGAATTTGCTAATACTCGTACTCACTCTAGGCCGAGTTGTGGTAAGTTTGTTCCCTTCCAGAATTTTTATGAGTATGACATGTCTTTATTATTAATGAGGGAAAGTGTATCATATCTTATAAAATTGTGTAGTTTAATTTGATGTTTATAATCTAAGGGTTTATTAGTATTATTAAAGGGGAAATCAGTTTTCATAGATTTCCGTGGCTTTGCATGACTGCGATGACAGATTTAAGATCATATTTGACATTGACGACTACATGCGTATTGCGTAGGGTGCAGTAGGACGTAAGGGTGTTGGGATTCATAATGCGGTTGAAGCTTTCATTGAAAATATATAATAATCGTAGGCGTAGCTAGTAAAAGTAAAGCAATAATGATGAATAACTGCTGCAATGCTATGCCCATTTTGCGTTCGGTTAGTTAGTTTGGATTACTAGTGTGTTGTCTACATTGAATGAGCTTTCTGTTGATGTCGACTGGTTTTATTCGCCAGTTCAGAAGCGCATGGAACACGTACAGCAACTTTCCCGATAAATATTGTACCCAATTTAGGCAATATCTACCTGTAACATGTATAATGATATTCATATAGATATGTCATAATTAACTAGTGAAGCTTTGTTGTTGTTTCAGATACAATCGCAGCTAATGGCATCCCAACAAAACAAGAAACGCGTCAAAGTAACAGCGTAGATGCTGGAAGTGACGATGAAGACGACGATCAAGATATAGAGGGCAGTGCAGACCGTCCCGCAGATTATTAAAATCGCTTAAGCAAATTGCTAGCGCCTAGCATCTATTATGAGCATAATAATTAATAAGAAATTGAAGAGCTTGATGAGTACCACCACCTCACTTAACAAACCCTTCATTAATAAATAATAACGTCTTCGTTCGCTTTACTTATGTCCAAAAACTAAAAATGAACCAGTAGGTAGGAACTTCACCCACTTTTATGTATCAAAATTATATGTCCATTTGGCCTAAATATTTCGTTTTCCATTCTTCACAAATAGTAGTGATAAATGCAATACAATTTCTGGCCTATAAAATTCTCAAAATACCTATTGCTTCATGCATCTGAAAACCTAAAATTATTCGAATAACCTATAAAGCAATGTAAATACATTCCATTTTAGTCTTGTACAAGGTGAATTTGAAAACAGATAAATTTACCATCCCTGGCATAATTTCTGATTTTCTTTCTACCCTGTATATTTTTGTATCTACTTATTTTGTTGTGTTTTAGAGATAAAAGTGATAAAATATACTGTTACTTTGATGCAATATTTAAAATTAGTAGGAATTTAGTTGTGTAGGGGAAATATTTTTATGCATCGTAAGACGCCGTTACATTAGAGAAAAAATAGTATGTTAACGTGCTATAACCCAGCTTTAATGTTATCGTGCCGTCTGTATTACTATAAAAATAAAAATAAAACAAAAATTATACTTAGAATTTTTATTACTGTATCTTTAAGTAGACTTATTGTGTGAATCCTTATAGTTAATAAACAAAATACTGGATAATCATAACAGAAAAAATTAATTTAATGAGGAAAAAAATCATAATTTAAAAACAAACAATGACTGTAATAATTCATACATTTTTGTGGTCACAAAATTCAATATTACTTTTTAAAAAATCAAAAGAAAAATTTGACATCTAGAGGCTTTACTTGTGGCATTATAATAATAAATTGTGCAATCTTAAAATCACATACATAATTCGTAAATATGTTAATTGTTGATACACTTTGATCATTGTTTGTTATTTTTTTTTTAAGTTTTCCTATTTATTAGAAAAAAAATGTCCATTCATATGTATGTATATACCCTGTAGTTTCGTATGGTTCTAACTTAAATCTTTCCTTTTTAATACCTATACAATTTGTTCTCCATGTATATGAGCACTTTCAGCTGGCATCAACACTGACCATCGTTGAATTATATTGCTGAATTTCTCATTTATGTATTTAAATTATTAATCAATAATTTTAATAAGAAATAATAATATGATATTCTCTGTTTATGAAAGCATTAGTTATAAGCACATACACATCCCAGACAATGTATTTATTGTATGTTTTTAACATATTTAATAAAGTTAGTAATAATAATTTTAATTTTTTTTGTTTATTTATTTGCTTTTTGAAAGGAGTTTTATAGGAAAAATATTTGTTCAATAATTCAGGATCATGTTTGGTATATCTTGATGGGTAAAAAATATAGTAAGAGAGTGATATCTGGTATAATTGATAGATGGGTCAAAATTGAATCATCGCAAAAAAAATGCAAAGAATGCACACCTAGCTGTCATGTACACTCACAAAATTGTCACTTTAAGTATTTTTTTAATAGTTGTTCAGTTTCGTCTATGCGCCCTGTATATAGTTGTAGGTTAAATTGGGTATTTAGGATGTCAAATCCTATTTGGGAACGGAAATTTATTCGTTTTTTTTTCTCTCCATTTTTGTTTTCTTTTATTTTAATTGAATTGCGCGTGCTATATGCCATATGCCGAAGAATTGATACGGCTTTGCTGAATTTGGCTTTCAGAAATGCGCGCGTTAAACACTGAAAAAGGATATCTGCAAAGTCCTTACACTGCCGACGAGTGAAGTCAGTCGCCAAAAACACTCCGCCCGTTTCGTGTGGTTCGAGAAAATAGACCTGCGGTTTTTCATTTGCCGCGACCGGTTAAATCAAGACAGTTTTTTCGTTTGAACTCCTTCGCATTGGACTTGAACTTCCTAAAAGAGCTGGCCAACTGAGTGGGGTTTGGAAGTAAAGCCAGGTAAGGTGAAAAAATATCCCTTTCAGTTTCGATATCTTTCAATTTCAATTTAAAATCTTTCTTCGATTACCATTCTATCAGCAACCTGTGGATTTTCCAGTTTTAATTTCGCACAATAGTATATAGTTGTTCATAAGTAAATATATTATATGATCAGGGTTTCCCATAAAATAAAATATGTAGATCCTAATAATTTGGGTACCTACCAGAAATGTCACTCATTATCCAATGAATCTACATGTTGCCAGGCTTTTATATCGGGTCTCCAAAAAAAAACAAATCAAAGATTGCTTTCATTACGAGAACGTACGTCGCATTATTGTTTCTTGAATGGTCTGGATTTTTAACTTGCCATTTTGACATTAAAGTTCATTTGACAAAATTAAAGAAAAATATTGCATACATACGTTTAAAAAACCATAGCGATATTTGATTGTTTTTTTTTTTTGAAGACCCGATAGCTTTTCCCCCCTTTCGTGCGTTGGAGAGTATCCTGGACGGACTTTATTACCACAAACGCTTCCACGTATGATTTATTTGATGAATTTCGCTGTGATATCCATAATCTCTGTCCACATTTGTTTGTATTACCACTCATTCCCGCAGAAAATAATGACAAGTCATCATGTCAACCTGTTGCAGCCCTAAACCTTCTGTTTTTAGTGTTTTTTTTTAAAATCTGCCCAGTTCCTCTCAAGGTTGAGTCCAATCTTTCAACACATAAGTATTGTCAGTTATTAGATTGATTCTTGGGTATAGGAAAGTTTGGTTAGGAATTAAAACAATTTTTCTCCTGGCAACGTTTCGTAACCTTTAATTGTTACCTCATCAAGTATTGTCATTCGTTATTAATCTAACACTTTCCGTATGAGAAGCGAGGGGGTGAAGTATATGGCAAAAACAGGTGTGTGTGACCATTGGCGTTCAAATGTAGGGAGCCACCAGCTCACATTCCTTTGGAGTATCAGATTCAGATCGACGGACTGTATGTGATATTCTGTCCGTATTGTTCTCTTATCTGCATTACTGCGATGTCGTAGGGAAGCCTATTCAGAGTGACGGGAAAAGCGTCGAAACGTGAGCTGGTAGAACGAGGGTTCAACAGCTGCGGATTTCTGGTATAGACCCGTGTAGATTTCCATGCATTTCTATAATTTTTGTTGATGTCTATAGATTTCCATAGATATCCGTGGATCTCAATGGATTTCTGTGGATGTCCATAGATATTCGTGGATTTCAGTAGATTTCTGCTATCAAAATCTACCCCTTATTGTCTCGTTATTTTTGGAACAACTGATAATAGGTTTGGTTCTAACGATGTCTCAAAAAGATGGAAACATGTGAAAGAAAACTTGGAGAGGCGGGGTATAACCTTACTCGGTATCTCTAGTGATGGAGATACTCATCTATCAAAAGCAATGCACCAACATGCTCCACTTTCACCCAGCGCTTCAAACAGACTAATGGAAGCACAAGGCATACATTTAAATGGTATCAGGCAGGATACGATAGGAATAATTTTCCCGGCATCTCCTATGTACAAGATACTGTATGTACAGGGTGGGCCAATTTGGACACTTTTTTATGGAAACACCCTTTATTTTTCGAGATAGAAAAAAATGAACCCCCCACTCTGAGCTCAAATTTCATGAAATTTTGATTGGTGCAAACCGCTTTTTGATATCTTCAACCGTTTAGCCGCTAGAGGGCGATTCTCGATTTTGAGCAATATTGTGAACCCTTCATAACTTTTTTGTGTATGAAAATAATTGATTTCCGTCAAAACTTTCTGGAAGCACTTTTTAAAACAGAATTCAGGGACGTTCTCGGTTTTTTTCTGTTTGGCGCCGATTTTGAGATATTGACCAAAGTCTGATTTTTTTCAATGGGACAACCTTTATATTAATAGCTCATTGCAAAGCTATGATTTTTCTGATTTTAATGATATCAAGTTTGATGGGGGTATCTCTAACCGTTTTCGAGAAAAAAAATAATTTCGGTTTTTCTCATAAGAAGCAATGTGTTAGAAAAGGACTTTATATCTGTAAGGAGAATGAAAAAGGTCTCTTTCTAATACATTGTTTCTTATGACAAAAACCAAAATAATTTTTTTTCTCGAAAACGGTTACAGATAAACCTATCGAACTTTATATTATTAAAATCAGAAAAATCATAGCTCTTCAATGAGCTATTAATATAAAGGGTGTCCCATTGAAAAAAATCAGACTTTAGTTAGGTAATATCTCAAAATCGGCGCCAAATAGAAAAAAACTGAGAACGTCCCTGAATTCTGTTTTAAAAAGTGCTTCCAGAAAATTTTCACGGAAATCAATTATTTTCATAAACAAAAAAGTTATGAAGGGTTCACGATATTGCTCAAAATCGAGAATCGCCCTCTAGCGGCTAAACGGTTGAAGATATCAAAAAGCGGTTTGCACCCATCAAAATTTCATGAAATTTGAGCCTCAGAGTGGGGGGTTCATTTTTTTCTATCTCTAAAAATAAAGGGTGTTTCCATAAGGAAGTGTCCAAATTGGCCCACCCTGTACATATCGCGCACAAGATTTCTTAATCCTAATGCGGCTTTAACAATGAGATACTAGAACCTGCGCATATGAACCAGCTAATCTCAAATTTTTCAAAGGACAAACGTTTCTTAACAGCCTTGGATTCAAAAGGCGAAGATAAGATGTGCTTCAAGTCTGCGGAAAATATGTATTATGGATCAGTCATCCGGTTGCTTGAAAATATTCCAGGACGTGAAGATGATTAGGCAAATTGCCTTATCATCTTACTAGGACCCTGCATTAGATGTACCCGTTAGTAGACTTCACAAAATGTGGTTTTGTGTATTTTTTTTACAGATTTGGCGCAGATGGCTAGCTCACTCACCTCAGATATTATATATATGTATATAACTATGAAAAATACTATGAATGATCTACAAGAAGTTTTAAGTTTTCCCAGAGAAGAAAAAAAAAAGAAAAAAAAAAGCAATGACTTCAAAAATCTATCAGATGACTTCAAGAAGGCCGGTGTGGAAAAAGCGTTCCAAGATGCGCTACAGCTCGCTGAGACTCTGGGAATACAAGTTCTAGAAGATAGTTGGAATGAGGTTGCTATTGCACCATCTACCACCCCAGAGTCAACTCCTACAGAAAATGATATTGACCAAGAGTTAGCTGATATAGAATATCACAACTGTGAGATTTTGGATACGTTATCACCATACCAGGACATCTCTGACACCTCTTCTGAGAATTTCTCACTAAGGCTGATGCCAGAAGAAAGAGATACCGTTTTTGAAAAAGGTCCGCTAGTACGGTATATCCGACGGGAAGTCGACTGTCATTTAAAAAAAATCTTCATTATGTTGGCTATTAGAAGAGGCAACGCAGAGAGTGAATAGGTACTGATAGGCTGCGAAGATTTTTCTCAACAAATTCAAATACGCTAATGGTTCTTAATATGCCCAAAAAGAAAATTCTACCAAATAGAACAAAGATTACAAAGAAGCGACTGTGCTCATCTATTCGTAGCAGAAAGACAAACAATAAATCAACTTCTAACTCCGAAACTTCAGACAATGACCAAATGAGTGTCAAATACGATGACAGCACAGGCACTGAATTTTTTTTGATGAAACCAGTGAGACAAATAATAATCGATTGGAATGTCTTTCATCAAATCTTCCTGCAACCAATATGACATCTTCGACTATTGAACCCGAGGTTGAAACTTTCAATAATGCTGTTCAGCCTGAATGTAAGTAAATTTTATGCCATATATTAGGAGCAATAGTGGTATTTAGGCTTAATCACAAAAATTGTCGATAATGAATACGTAGCGAAGTTTTTGAAAAAAAAAAGAAGAGTGAAAAAGAATTTTTGTGGCCTAAACCAGATGATATTTCTAAAGTGTCAGCAGAGTTAATTTTTATGGATCTATGATGGATGTTAATGAGAAAAAGTCTGCAGTACCGTTGCAACTGAGTGATCTACAGTTAAAAGACATTAATGAAAGATACAAACTAATGCAATCTACATTAAAAAAATCAATTCTCGCGATAACTATATGAGAATTTGAAAAATATCTTCATAATCTCAAAATATGATAGAAAATCATAGGTAAACTATATTCTTTAGCTACCCAACATTAGTGCCTGAGTCATAATATATAATTTGTGTTATCAGTTTTAAACTTCGGCATATTTTTAATTGTTAACTGACTCTGGATTTCTGTAGATATTTATGGAAGTCCATAGATTTCCACAGATTTCTTTGGATTTTCACAGAAGACTTTGGATTTCTGCGGATTTTTGTAAATTTCTGCGGATTTTTGTGGATTCTGCGAATTTTTGTGAATTTCTGTGGACGTAAATTTATCTAAAAATAATGGATTTCAGGTGTATACATTTTGAGCAGCTGTCTACCCTCCGTGTTAGAATTATTCCAAGTAAGCTGAAAACCGACTTTCAAGTAACATATTCCAGTTGGAAAACCACACTGCATAAGATAAGTTATCATCCGTATCCGTATTCTAACATCATTATCTGGATTTGAATTTTCTGATTCAATCATTTTATAAAGTTTATTTACCCTACATATGAAGTCGCATAGTTAGGAAGTAAGTGCACTCAATAGAAAATCAATCATAAAGTAGTTGGTAGATCCGGCAATATCACACAACCTTCGCTTGTGACGTCATCTCAACTGTTATAGTTATAAAAATATATATTATTTGCCTTTAGGCGAAAAATTGGATTGGTTTTCTTTGCTTTTCCTAGCCATACTGATGAGACCTGATATAGGTCGAAACGCGTCTATAGATGGAAGAGCGGAGAAAATCAATCCAAAAAACTTTTCTCAAACAGTTATAGTTATAGGTGAAATATCACCTAGTGCATCATCAATCAGTTTAGTAGGTCAACTTATAACCAAGCGCCATGTAATGTTTACACCAGGGTTTGGTCGGGCTGTCATAGTTTACGACCTAAGATTAGGATTGTATGGCGACTCTAAATACTAGAACACTATCAAGTCCCGATAAAATACCGGAAATGGAAGAAGGACTAACCTAAATAAAATGGGACTCTCTGGCTATGAGTAGGTAGGTAACACGAGAGAAAAGGGAATGGATAACTACTATTACACTTAGGCTGATAGATAGGAGACATGTGTCCAAGGATCAAGAGCATACAGTTCAAAGCCATGAGTAGATATTAGGGTAATGTATTTTGCGTACAGGCTAATAACAAGAATTCCTATAAAGAAATGTAAATTTATTCCATTTTGTCTCGTACAAGGTGAATTTGAAAACAGAGATAAATTTACCATCATTGGCATAATTTCTGATTTTCTTTTTATCTTGTATATTTTTCTACTTATTTTGTTACTTATAATGTTACTCTGATGAAATATACATAAAGTCTGTTTTTTTTTAAAGATAATTCCCCAAGTCAAAAATTTAGTAACTATGTTGGCAACACAAGCCTTTTCTACATAAAAAATTTGAAAGCATTGACAATTTTACATTGTATTGCCAACATAATGTCATTTTGACTTATATCTTTAAAAAAAAAACACAGTTTATATGTTTTCAATTAGAAATGATACATTTTTAGACAGAAATATTAAAAATGGTGAAACTTGCCTAACGAAGCATGCAGGTTTAAACTGTTTGGCAATTTGTATGTTCTGAAATGCAGATTCTTGCGAAAACATTGTCCAAATTACAAGTACGAAGTGCGACTCTATTGATAAAGATCTAACAAATTTAGGAGACGTAGGTACTCTAACTGCCGACATCCGATCTTAGGAAAAGCGACTTTGAGGAAGAGGAGACGAATGAAGTTTAAAACACATTAACCAAAATCACAAACACTGTAGCTATGTTAACAAACTGAGTCCATCCAGAGAAGCAAAGTGCACCAATGCACATAACGAAACAGACTAAATATCTGATGTTATTTTTATTTTTCAAAAAATCGCTCGTACACGTAATTTGATTGTGTGAGTGTTTGAAACATTTTCAGCCCTAACTTAACCTTCTAGGGAAGGTGGGACCGACCCTTACCATTCCAAATGGATCACGGGGTCGAGTGATACCTGTTTTAAAAGAGCGTTCAATTTTCTTCCAACATCACAGGAAAGAGAATTGAACGCTCTTTTAAAAGAGGTATCACTCGACCCCTTGTTCCATTTGAAATAGTATGGATTGGTCGAGGGGTCGGTCCCACCCCGCCTAGAGGGTTAGAGTTGAAGTACTAAAAATGCTTGCAGAAAACTTCCCCCTCTGAAAATTAAATTACGTATACGAGCGATTTTTTTAAAAATAAACGTGACATCAGATATCTAGCCTCTGTTACGTATTAAATAGTACACCCCATAGTTATATGTGCACATATTATATTTCATATGAATTTTGGCCCACAAGGAAATAAAAAAAATGGTTCTATAATAGTTTATTGAGTTTGTTTTTAAACTATGTATAAATGAAAACTAAATTAATTTAATCAGATTTTGTTGGTTATTTATGATAGCGGAGAGCATGTGCCCCATTTAACGCTCTGGATTCCTGTAATAGAAAAATATTCTAGGTGAGAAATTCAAATAGATCAATTTGCGATGTAAAATGTAAATGTCAATTTTATGTGCAAGAAGTTTCTCATTTAAATTGTATCGAAATTTTTAAAAATCTGCCTTTTACTCACGTCTGCCACACCTTTGCGCACATTGTAACCGAAACTGGTTATTGTACGTTATACCGTCACTTCCACATACTGGATTGTAATGTTGTACTGTTTGACAAGCATCGAAGCATGCTCGGAATGCTAATGTGGTAATTGAAGCAGGATCTATCATTGGAGTGGATTGTATTATTAGTTGATATGTAATTAATGTAAGTTTCATTAAAGTAGTTCAACCCACAGCGGAGTCGTCTATCAACAGGAAAATAAATAAAACACTTGTCTGTTGCACTAATAGCTAATGCAAGATGTTGGAAGAAGTCGACATATTCTACAATAAATAAGAGAAAAAAAAATCTGTAACTAACTTACCTAATATCTAGCCTCGAATGAAAAAGGAAATGTTTTGGCTTTGTTTCAGTTGATTTATAGTTATAGCTTCAGGTTTGTCTCTTTTTTATATTGTATGTATAAAATTTGGCTCCTGATGATGGCATGAGTCCGAAACTTGTTCGGATTTGTTAAAAAAAAAAAACAACTATTAGTGGAACAGACAAGGAATTTTATTTATTTGTCCTGCTATTAATGTAAATGGTAATTGGATAATTTATTTACCTTGATTAGTAGTTGATACAATGGTTGTTGTTTGTATCGCTTGTGGCCAAATTCCACCCCAGTCTACTTGGCACGAAGATCTTTGGACGCACAAAATGGCCAAAACTACAAAAAAGAATATTTAATTACTTATACTTATACCTACTACTAAATAAAATCGACCCTGTTTGAGAACACGAATTTAAATTCTAGAATACTTACAAGTTACTAATAACAATAACACTTTGTAAATTGAATTCATTTTCAGACAAGTGCGGCCTATGACTGCAGAGCGTGAGGAGTGTATCAACTTGTTTGTATGTCTTTGGAAAGACCAATGGATACTAACTACGAAAAACATCTATAGATAGATGTAAATGATTCACTTGCAATGTAAACAAATATCCAATGGATAATAATAATTTATATCTAGGAAAAAATGTAAATAAATAAAATATGCTAATTGTTATTGTTGCAAATTATAAACAATAATTCAATTTTAATATAGCTAGTGCATCATTTCAGCAATAATGATAGGTATCGGCATTTATCTATCAGTTTTTAAGCGAAAATTTGCGACATCTGAAATTTACCAAAAATAGAATAATGATAGTCACAGCAGGTATATATCTGCACAAATATGGAACTTCGGAATGCTTTGTGTTTAGTGCAATTTATTTACAATTTATTTTTCAGCAAGAATTGTGTTCTGACTCATCCAAGGTGCGAGATACGTAGGCTATTGTCAAATCTTGTCCGATGGGCCCTTGTGATAACACAGCACCTAGGGCTACGTTACTAGCATCACATTTCAAGTTAAATGTCTTCGAAAAGTCTGGGTATTATAGTATAGGTTCATTTACAAGCAATTTTTTGCAATTTTCAAAACATAAATTCTTGGGTATGTTCAATCTTTGCGCCTTTCTTCAAGCATTTCGTGGGGGGTTTTGTGATTTTTGCAAATTTATCTATAAAACGTCTTTAATATCCAAGTAGTCCGAGAAAGCCTTTGATTTGTTTTGTAGCTTTTGGAATTGGGTAATTTTTTATGGCTGTGCTTTGTCTGGATTTGGTCGCACTCCTTCTGGTGTCAATATATGGTCTAAATATGCTACTTCTCGTCTTAGAAACAGAGATTATTCTAACGTGCAGTTGGACACAAAATGTGCAGTAGGAAAAGTAAATTTTGCAGTGGAAAATTAAAATCTGTGTAGTTATTTTTTCATGTACTACGAACAAATAATTTAGTTGACATAATATGCTACATATGAGAATACAATAGCACTATCAATACATTACATTTGTTCTAAAATTTATTGCTAATTTTCCCCCAACACTACCTGAAATTCTCCGTTTACCTCATCCGCATTGGTCTCAGCAAAAATATCTGTGCTGTTTCTTTGAGTCTGTGCTGACGCCTATTTAACCAAACCATAGTGGCTTGTCGAGGATCCCATTCTGACAGATAAGGCATATTGTGATAAATGTAAAAAGGGCGTGGCACCCCCAAAAAAATTTCGGCTGCGGCGCATTTTTTTTAAGAGTTCACAACCAAACTAGGATGTCGCTAGCCGCCACTGCTTTTATAACACTCCAAATAATGTAATGTTAGAAGCGTTTCATGAGTTATTATGACACCAAAATAGAAAATAGTATAGTGTGTATTTAGGTGGAAAAGTGACACATTCTCGGCCGACGGTGTAAGTTAACGCGCGAGGCGCAGCCGAGGCCAGCAAACACCGAAGGCCGAGAATGTGCTTTTCCTCTGAAATACACAGAGTATTTTTTCTGCTATCGCTCAGGAATAAAAAAAAAAGGAATGCATTTGTGATGTTGCTAGATCAGCACACTTTCCTAGCCTAGGCCGGAAAAGTATTTTCAGTACTGTTATCCATTCATTCCTTAGTAATCACTTTCTCGGCTTAGGGGAAAAGTGATTCCTGTACTGTTATACATTATCCATCGATTCCTTAGCAACCATTGAAAATACCAGAATTTCGAGCTTTGCGACCTGTCAACCGGTCATAAATGATGACATTTCTTGTCAATCGCAGAAAACTAAAAAACATATATTATGTGAATGTGTGTTAGTGACACATATCATGGTAATACATACGGTGATTTATTTCCTTTATGTGCAGTGGAAAAAATCCTTAGAATAACCTCTGCTTAGAAATTCACTTTTATCCAATTGAATTTTGAAATTGGTTTCACAGTTTCACGTAATCTTTGGAAAACCAATTTGAGTCGTTCTATGTGCTCTTGTAGCGACGTGGAAAATATAATAATGTCGTCGAGGTATACAAGACATTTTTCGTTCTGGATTCCTCGTAATATACTGTCCATGGTCCTTTGGAATGTTGCGGGGGCGTTCTTCAGCCCAAATGGCATACACAGAAATTTGTAATGTTCATTTTCCGTATTAAATGCGGTTTTCTCTGTGTCGTTCTTGTTCATCTGTACCTGATGAAATTCGCTGGCCAAGTCCAATGTAGTAAAATATTGACATTTCCCTAATTTGCCTGATAGGTCGGTTATATTCGGTAAGGGGTATCTGTCTGTTATGGTTTTCGCATTAACGCCACGAAAATCTACTACTTCTCTCCATTTCTGCTTTCCAAAAGCATCCGCTTTCTAGGGAGAGTCATCAGTGGTTTTAATTCAATGTCTTATTTCACTTGTAAATGTCAGTGGCATGTTTTCTTGATAAAATATATCCGAGTATTCTTCACATAATTTGATGATTTTCGATTTTTCTTTTGCATTCAGATGATCGGTGCGAATTTGAGAACAGTTGAAATTGGGTTTGCAATCAAGTGGGTCTGCGAAATTTTTTAGATTTATCTTTTCCAATTCTTCTCGATTAAATGGTTGTGAAATATCAAGGGTTATTGGCTTACAAGTGTTATTTAAAATGCTAGTAAAGTCATTACCATTTTTTGCTATACTCAGCAAGTTTGGAATTTCGCAGTTATGTATCATCTGGTAGGGTATATTAATAGGGCAGTTTGATGTTTGACGTTCAAGATGGCGTTGCGGCATAAAAAACTTTTGTAGATAAGCACTCTGCAAATCAAAAATCGAAAAATATTTATGAACTATATGTTTTAGACTGTTAACAGTTCTGGAGCACACGAACAACTAATCGGAGGTGAAGGAAATCATCTTGATGTAACTTATATTTAGGCTTTTCTACCTACTTGGGGCACAGCTTCTTGGGGTCCGTTTTGTACCTGATGTCCAGGTATTTTATTGATAGATAAATATTCCAAGTAACTACGAACATTAAAGCAAATTGAAATAAATTAAAATTCATCAAATTAAACTCTGAAACACGTAGAAATAAGTGAAATAACACATATTTATATCCGTGTTTATATGGAGGCATGTTTAACCTCAATGATTTGTTTACATTTGTGCCGCATCGCCATCTTGAATTATCAGCTGATTCGAACTGCCTAATAAGTTGTTCAACTCGAGGAGAAACAGTAAAATTATATAATGATGTGTCAGTTTTATGGAACTGCAACTTAATTATTGTGTATGGGGTTACTAAAAATCCTGTATCAAAATTAATGTTAGCTTGTAAGTTTTAAAGATTATCAAGCCCTAAGAAACCATCGAATATGTTGTGAAATTTAAATAGGTAGAATTTAAGAGAGGTTCATTATTTGGCAAATTAAAGATTTTATGTGCGGGTATTTGAGCACTGTACTTATGTGCCGATTGTTGAAAAACGGTGGAGACAATAAATGGGTCATCAAATATATTATTTGGGTATAATTTTTGAGCTAGTTCAGGATTTATAAATGATCTTGTAGAAACGCTATCTATTAACATTTTTAAATTGTGTTCTGGGGAAGGTAATGTATCGCAGCTTGCTTGTAGCGCCATTATTCAACCATATTATTTCGGGGGTGAGGTTTGGGGATTTTCCGAGGCATGATTCAGAAAATTTGCGTTTTGCGTTATCATAAAAGTAATCAGATGCATTATTGTCATCAGCAGACTCAGCATATTGGGGGTTATAATTATTAGACTCGGACTCATATAGTTGGTCAAAATTAGATGAATCGTATTATAGGGATCCTGGGGTCACTTTCGTTAGTGTCAACATGAGGTTAATTAACTCCATCAACTACGTTCGTATTATATAGCTCTTCAGCTATGAAGCTACTTGGTTACTAGAAATAATTTCTAGTAGGTTGTTGAGCATTGGCATTAAAAGTCTATCTCGAAGTTGTTGACACAGGAGTAGGTTTTGGGAAAGTTCTATTTTGATTGGGTTTAAATACATTTCTCGAGTTTGAGTTGGATTAATTTTTGAATACTTGAGAATTGGATGGGAATCTTTGTGGGATTTTGTTATAATTTGGTTTTACAGCACTAGGCTGGGATGGAAATATTGGTTTAGCCGTAAATAAATTGTTAGGTGTTTGGCTATTGAATCCTGGGTTAAAATGTGTGTTTTTAAATTGTGTGTTTGCTTTATTGTGTTGTGTGGATTTTTGTGTATCAGGTTTAGGAAAATTCTGGAAATATTGAGTGTTATATTCGTCAGTAACAAATTGCTTGCGGAAGGTCTCGTGGACGCATGCGACTAATTTTCGTACGTAATGGTTCCCTTAGGCCCGATAAGAATGTTTTTAAAGCTGAATTATTGTATAAATTAAGTTTCAGCAATTCTGCAGCGTCATTTGTTCCATGAATATCCACGTAGAAACATAAAAGATTTAAAATATGTAAAATACGATGGTAGAATTGGCTAGGCTTTTCACCATTTTGTTTCTAACTATTACTAAATCGCGATTTAAACAAGCTTCATCGCGCTGGTCAGCAAAATTCCTGCTCAAAATAGTTTCAAGTTGGTCCCAAGTTGTTACATTTTGGGTTCCCAAAACTAATTTCGCGTTACCGGTCAATTTACCGGATTATCGAGTTCAGAAAGTAAATGTTCTGAAAACTATCTGGTTGAGAAGCGTTATAAAATGCATCAATGAGACTTTAACATACTGATAAAAATATCTGTTCAAATCATTCGGATTTCCGTCAAATTGTGGTACACAGCTTAGGTACTCTGGCTTAAAATGAGCCATATTGTTAGAGTTTAAATTCGGAACAATGCAAATATTTTGATTATTAGGAGACGTGCTTTCAGCACCGTTACTTTCAGAAAATGTTTGATTAATTATTCTAATTAAATCTTCCGAATCAGAAGATGAATCAGTTGAAGGCGGTAGTGATAAATTATTTAGTTTCTCAATTATTTCATCTACGTCAGACATATTAAATTGCACTTACAGGTTTAGGTTTGGCGATATGGTCCGTCTGAATGGTTCTTGGTCCTTGCGAGATTTGGACAATTGGGTTCTAAACTCCAATTACTCCGAGGTAACAGGTTCACAATGAACTGGGTGTATCGATATCTAGAAATCCACTCTGACATCTCACAGTAAATAATTAACGTAGGTCCGTTTTTTCCGGTTAGTCCGAATACCGGAGAACCGATAATAAGTCCCGAATAAAACACATCCCACCGACTGCGCCAGTTAACAAGTCAGAAACCGAGGGTTGGTTTTTGAGAAATGACTCTATTAACAATCCGAAATTATGGGTATTATAAAACTATTTTGACAGTTAACTTAAAAGTTAACTTCTGGAATGACGTTGCTTCCCATAGTAATTCCACAAGTTAACTTTTTGCTATCTGTCAAAATAGTTTTATAATATCCGCCCTTAATCATGTAAGTTTACCATACGACATTGCATCAAGAGCCCGGCCAGATTTCAGTATCCTACGCCTATTCTGGAAATTGTATTATATAAACAAATTGTCAAAACCCCACTCAAATGGCACTGATCTCCTTAAAAAGCCAAACGGAAAGTACTGTATCACAAAGAGAGTATATATTATACAGGTCGACTTTCCGGGATTAATCGTGGAAAGCTCTCAGAACTAGCTAGGCAACGAAAGAAGACAGAGGATAGCAGGCAGAATATTCATGCAATAGAATAAAATGGGCGATAAACAGTTTTAAGATATACAAATCCCAGGAAAGCACGGTATCTATCCAGTCCTGCTGCGGATAGAACAGCATCCTTACCAGAACCAGCAACGTCGGATTGACTGTCCTAGGCTACGCAGATGATCTGGCCGGAGTAATGATACGCAAGCATGAAGGCATAATAACGGGCCGATTGCAAAATGCCTTGAATATAACCAAAAACTGGAGTGAGGCAGAAAGACTTTCCATAAACCCCAGCAAAGCGATCTGAGTTCGGTTTACGAAAAGAAGAAAGCTGGATTATCTCTGAGCACCTCTTTAAACGGAACACAACTATCTATAAAAGTCTTCGACAATGGTCATAGCTAATTGCACTAGCAGCAAAGAAAGCTTGATCTACCAGATTTTGCGTCGATTAAAGAAAGGTCAACATTGGAACTGAGAAAGATAGTTACTCATTATCCAGAATTGACAATACCCTAATTGGTGGACTGAAATTGGTTTTCTACGATCTATTTGAAAAGCGGACTGACAGGTGGGCATTACTGAAAAGACAGCATTATTTCCTGGAAGTGGTCTTTACCAATTCAAGGTAAGGCCTTTTGGACTAAATCGTATCATCATGAGCATTTAGTAACTTACAAGAAGTGTTCACTTATATCCGCAGGGAAAACCTCGGATCAAATGACAAGAAATGAGGAAGTTTCACTCGAAGGCATTCATCCTGTCAAGAGAAAAATCCAGGCCATTAAACCTAAAAGTTTCATCAGGCTTTGTTGATACTACAGCCGATTTGTAGGAGGATTTGCCAAGCTAGCAGCACAGTTGCATAAACTTACTAAAGAAAATAAAAGTATTTAATGGACCACCGACTTTGGAACACTGAAGGCAGCGATATGTTCTAACATTAGACTATGACGCGAACATGGAACATTTATTTTTGACGCAGACGTGAGCAACAAGGGTATCGGACCTGTCCTATCGCAAATAATAGATGTAGAAGAACGGGCCATTGAATACTAGACTAGAGTGCTCACCAAGCTCAAGAGAAATAAGTGCTTTACAAAAAAGGAAGTATTAGAAATAGTCAGACCATTAGACCATTTCTGTACCTGTATGGCTAAAAATTTCTCCCAAGATAGCTGCCTATTGTTACAACAGTAGGTACAATTTTCCATTCAAGTTCAAATCGAACTAATTTCCATCCAAATTCAATTGCGAACCAAGCTCAATCGTTGCGGCACAAGATAGGTACTACTTCAGATGCAATCTGCACTCGGTCTGTTGACATCACTGTTGGACTGTGATGTATAATAAAGCGAATACCTAATATGCATGAAAATTAGGACAACAAAATGTAACAATTAAATCGATAAAAAAATAAGCATTCTTTCAAACAAAATAATTTTATTCACCACGATTAAATAACAACAACAATTAATCACCTTCGAAAATTATCCTCCAGATTCTCGACCTGAAACATGCTAAAATTTGGAAAATTTAACAAATATTGTTGAAAGGGGTTTTCATTTCCCGAACGGAGAAACTGGGGCGTTGGTCCCATGAAAAAGTAAGTTTGAGTATCAGTGCGATTCCCAGGATCTTCCTCATTTTCATGCACTCTTACTGCGCCTGTGTCATCTGACACTATTTTATCATCAGAAACTACCAAATCATCTTTGATAGTTGATAATGCATGGTTTGTATCAACTAAAGCTACTGCAGCGTTGGTTTCTTTAACTTCTTTTGATTTTTCATTTTCAGGTAGTCCGACACTCACATCAGCTTCAATTGCAATACTCTTATTTTCCGGTGAGGTTTCAAAACATTTATCTAAACACCCGAGACAATGAGAACAACAACAGGTGCCATCTTCATTATTAAAATTTTCACATTTTACACATCCGCATTTCTGGGTGGTACCAACCAATACATTTTTCTTATTACTGTTTTTGCCAGGAATATATACTGCGTCGCCATATTGAGATGATCTGGTACACTTGCAAGGTTCCAACTTCTTGTGAGACACAAACAAATCACAAATTGACTTTTTTATCTGAGCAGCTATAGTCGATGATTTAGTTTTCGCTTGTTTCTTGCAGCAAGGTTGAAATATTTTAGGCTTAGTGAATTCTTCCGGGCAAGTGCAACTTAGGAAAGGCTTGGCATTTGATGTTTGACCTTGGCAATTGGAAATGTTACAACCGCAGGTAGGACATATAGGGTCTAGAAATTAAGTTTAATGAATGTGCATTTAAGAAACATAAATAAGACTTACTTTTTAGTTTAAAACTATTTTCCACAGCTGAAAACAGCCCTTTCGTTTTACTTAGAATCCTTTGCATCATTGTAGGCTTTCTATTAAGTATACTATCACAAGCGCAAAGGTGATATACAAAATATTCAATAGGATTGATAGTTGTTTCATCAATTTCTCTTTTAACAATTTCGTATTTTACCAAAGTTTCTTTCAATTTATTCAGTGAAGCCTCTAAGGTTTCTTCAGTATAATTTCCGTTATCATCAAAAAGTTGAGATTCCGATGTCATAAAATCACAGTCACTAAATGACTGATTACTTGCAAATGCTACAGTAAAATTTTCAACTTCATCGCAACTATTTTGTTTACTGTAATTATACAGTTGCTTGAAAATCAATTCTCTTTTAAAAGTATTTTTTTCCATTTGGAAAAAAGTGTCGAGAAGAGTATTGGAGGTTTGAGATTGCTTGGATTGGCCAATATTTCTCGATGTTTGCATTCCAATAGTATTAAACCTATTAAGTGTTTTGACAGAATTTACTTGAGTCAGGCATACTTGTGGTTGTTTGGCTTTCAAATCATGAAAAGAGATATTAGAGTTATTCTCATTTCTGATTTTTCGTATGTTCTGGTTTCGATATATCTCCTGCAAACTTTCTTTTTCAGTTCCTACAGCTACACTCATGTGCTTTTCGGATATTTGACATAAAAATTTGTCCTTAATCATTTGTTTCATTATCATTTCATGCAAGACTTTTGTGAAATATTTTAAAATCAATTTAGAGGAATCTCTATTCACCAGACTAAATAAAGAAGTATCTTTGGTTAATCTTTTTGTACTCAATACAGGATTTTTTGGTTTATTTTTTGATGTGTTCGATTTCAACTTACACATTTGCTTAGGAGTGGACATATCTGAACTGGATCTTGGCAAATAAAATTCTTTCCTTTTCCTTTTGTTTTTCAAAATATTACTTGCTACAGAAGATTTGGTCGAATTCTGAATTTTTTCATAGTAATTGCAAATAGAATATCTTTTATCAGTTTGTTCAGTAAATTCGGCAATCTTTTCTCCCAAAGAATCTCTATCTTGTTTCGAATCTAAAATTGTAGAATAAATTTAACGAATTTTGATTGTCATGTATTAGGTGAATTTATTTATTCTGATGGGCAGCAAAGTATCGTCTCTCCTGACTGCAAAATAAACCAACTTTTGGCTAATTTTTTTTGTGAAAAATGACACTCTAGGCACCTTATCAATCAGGCTTCAAATGGTTTTCAACTTTTGATTTAAAAAGTGCATAGTGGAAGGTGGAACTTAGCGAAGGATAAAGAGAATACGGGAGATGGCTTTTATCGATTTAATCATGTTGTTTGGATTATGCAATCCACCTGCCATCTTTGAGAGACTGATGACTGATAGAATTAGCTCTGCGAGGACCCACTTTGGAGTTGCTTGGTATGCTTGGATGATTTCATGGTGATTGGCAAGAGAAGAAAAAAATTGCAGTTCAGATGAGGTAGAAGTGAAACTTTATATTCATACATACATACATACTGGCTCGAATGAGATTCGTAGTGCCAGGATCGCTTAATCACTTGTAAAATGGAGAAGTCCGGATAGGATTGATAGGAAAAGTCTAATAGATCGGTGTGCCATGGACCATAGAGAGTGACACGTGAACGGCATGTACACGCCATAAAAAAAGTAACAAGGATGATAAAAAATGCATTGAAAACCTGTTTCCGTTGCCATTGCTACGATCGGGAAGCTTTGTTTTTGTTTAGTAATTTTTGTGTTGTTTGTTGATTTTAAAAAAATCCCTGGATAGAGTAGGTACAGTAGAAATATCAAGTGGCCGGTATGTTTTTTGAAGTTTAATCGATTTGTCTCTTTTAGCATGCATATGTGAGACCGGAGATTCCTTTGAAATAATTTTTGAGATTTTGCATAACGTTAGCAAGGTTGAAAAGCTAAATTTTGTGGAGCATATTGGCAGCTTAGTTACAAGTTTGCAATAGTAATCTCTTTAAATGAACCTGTTAACGCCCAGTATCAATGGACGGTAATATTCAATGAATTTGGACATCTTGCCGAAAATAAAAGATACATCCTGGGAACAATATCGAACGTTACAACAACGTGTTACTGATCTATAATTTATAAAACCGATTTAGCTATTCTAGCCAAATACTACTAGGTATACGGTAAACGAGTCGGTAATTGATTTTACAAAGATATTAATTAGGTAGCTAATGGAGCTAAACGATAGGGAACGTGTTACTGATCTATAATTTACTCGATAATTTAAAAAACTGATTTAGCTATTCTAGCCAAATACTACTAGGTATACGGTGAACGATTCGATAATTGATTTTACAAAGATATTAATTAGCTAATGGAGCTAAACGATAGGGGGCAATAGAGAAAAGGTAATAATATCTCAGTAACGGTAATTAATATTTACAAAGATATTAATTAGCTAATAAAGCTAATCGATAGGGGGCGATAAGGAAAAGGTAAGTTACGGTAATTAATATGGCACATTTAAGAGACCCATAGGTAAATAATTATACAAGCCTGGACGGAATTCTTGTAAAGCCTCAGAAGTTTTCACAAACTTGAGATCTGGAAGTACCAAACTGGCTGGAGACAACCAAATAATAGTTGGGGTTCTACTTCTTACAGGACACCAACATTCCTTGAAAAAGGGGGCCCAGATTTACTTTGAAATGCAGAACAGCATGGTCTCAAATTTGTCAACTTTCACCTGGATAAGTGCAGTCACAGATTTTTCGTCCTGCCCAAAATTGCCTGAATGAATTGAAGAAATATAAGGACTCATTCATCAGAGAGAAAAAGGGATTTACATACCTGAACGGCCGATAGTTAACCTCAATTTCAAAAATCTTCACAAAAATCAACAATCGGTTGATTTTCCAGGAAACTTTCTAGCAGACACGATTAATCATTCTTCTGGCAAGTCAATTTACAAAACTATGGGCTCGATGGCCAAAAATAAAGACAAAATTTTAAGATTAAAATTTGGACGATCGTTTCGGTCCCAAGACATAAGAGAAAGGCCAACTCAAAAGTACCCAAATTGGTTCTGTCCTTTCTTTCTTGGTCTGTCAAGCCTGTCGAAATTATAAAAATGACAGCGTTACAGGTTTCTCGGAAATAACCTTAATAACAGAATTTTCGGTATTAGGTTAGAAAAACTATTCAGAAGAATCATAGATGTGGCTAGGTGTACGAAATAGTACTTTTAAATGAGTCCAAAATATATGAAAATAATTAAGAACGATAATAGTTATTTATGTATCAAGGGAATTATGAGGGTGTTAATACCCCAGGGCAAAGTTTGTGTCCCGAGGGCCTCTGGCCCGAGGGACACCAATTGCCCGTGGGTATTAACACCTGATAATTCCCGTGGTACATAGATAATTTTATTTCCTACTGAATTTACTGTATTTTGTCCAATTTTATAAAGAAATAAACCATAAACCAAAATGTCTATTTTTTGTCAAAGTTTCACCTATTCAAGGTAAAAGCGGGAGTTAAGGAAATCCCTAACTCCCTTGGGAGTTAAGACCCTGTTTATGATTATCGTAACCAAGGTATTATATGGTTATAATAGTTCAGTAGGAAATAAATATATTTATATCCTACTGAACTATTAAAACCATATAATACCTTGGTTACGATAATCATAAACAGGGTCTTAACTCCCAAGGGAGTTAAGGATTTTCATAACTCCCAAGGGAGTTAAGGAAGGGAGTTAAGGATATCATAACTCCCAAGGGAGTTAAGGATTTCCATAACTCCCGCTTTTACCTTGAATAGGTAACACTTTGACAAAAAATAGAAATTTTGATTTATGGCTTATTCCTTTATAAAAATAGACAGAATACAGTAAATTCAGTAGGATATAAAATTATCTATGTACCACGGGAATTATCAGGAGTTAATACCCACGGGCAATTGGTGTCCCTCGGGCCGGAGGCCCTCGGGACACAAACGTTGCCCTGGGGTATTAACACCTGCATAATTCCCTTGATACATAAATAACTATTTTGTGACATTCCAAATGTTACAAATTTGGATCATTTCGCAATCCGTAGAAGATATGTTGCCAGTTCTGGTTCTAGACCTCTAGACCAAACGCCGACCTACTAAAATCTATTCTTATAGCCGGAGAGCCAGCGCCGAAAAAATTCTCTGAATTTATTAAAGCTAGTTTTTGGTCAGTTGATTATAGTATTTACGTACATAAACATACCTCGGTCAGTCAAGCGAAATTTGGGACAAGGACCTAGGGGGTTTGGTTAAAGTTGTCGAGATAGCTAGGTAATGCAACGAATTTACTAAGGCTGAAAATCGCTATACATATTATATATAACACATAAATAACAGTGATGTTTGTCAGTCAGTTAAATAGCGGAACTGGGCCGGTCATTCAGCCCCATTGAGGTAGTTCAGCCCCAATTTATGTAAAAAAAAATAATAGGTCTATTTCTATGGTCTATTTTTTTTAGAGTGACAGCGTGACAGTGACAATTCAAAATTGTAGGTTGAAGTTTAAATTAATAGGTTTGTTCAGTAATATTAATAATTTTTGCAGATTTTTACATTTATTGGGGCTGACTGACCAGCACGGTCCCGCTATTCAACTGCCTGACTAACACTACTGTTATTTATATGTTATATATAATATGTATAACGATTTTCAGCTTTAGTAAATTCATTGCATTACCCAAGTTATCTCGACACCTTTAACAAGACACCCTGGGTCCTTGTCCCAAGTTTCGCTTGACTGACCGCGGTATGTTTATGTACGTAAATACTGTAATCAACTGTCCAAAAACTAGCTTTTGTAGATTCAGAGAATTTTTTCGGCGCTGGGTCTTAGACTATTACCTTGATATTTTTTTCCAATAAAACCTTGCAGTTGCCACGTCAAGCTTGCGTCGTCGATATCATTGACATCGATTTGATCACTCTCGCCATTACCGCCTCTATCAGAAGAAGATTCACTAGTTGGTTCATGTTTACAAACGGGAATTGGAATTCTGCTCGAATACAATTTATTGTTTCTGGCCAGCGAGTTTCTTTTTATAGATTCTGGGATGTTTCTACGGTTTCTAGTAATGAGAGGATCATTTTGCGATATTAACTCTTGGGGATAAGACAAAACTGTTTGATATTTGTTGTATTTTTCTTTCATCCATTTAAAAGGATTTGATCTATTTGGTGCAACTTCTTTGTCAAGACTCCTATTACTCGCTGTTTGTTTTTCTTCTCTATTTTCTGGTTGGTGAAATGAATGTTGCACTCCAAAATAATAAACATCATAATTGGCATAATTGCATCGCATATCATCCACCAAATAAATATAATAATCTAATTTGTGTTTCGCCAAACTTTGATTATCGTCAACCAAGAGATACATTACACTATAAACTGAGTTGAAATACATATTCGAGCTGTTGTAAGCAGCACTCTTCCGAAGATTTGTAGAATTTTTGACTTTTTGCAAGCTCATTTCAAGTGATTCACCTATAACGTCAAAATCGGCCTCGTCAAGAGGCAAAGATCCTATGCTTGCTGAATAGGGTAAGCATTTTTTCAATTTTTCATTTAAAATAGCTTTTCTACAACACTTGGCCGGACGACAAGCCCTAAGCAAATTTTCAGTACCAAAGTCTTGAAGACGCACCACAATTTTATTATTTTTATTATTGATTTGTCCTTGATTCCTTAACCTAGATTCCACAGTTTTGACATCGAAATCTAATGAAGAACAAACTTTTGTTCGCACTAAAGGAATATATGTATCATCTGCAAAATAGGTTTGTTTCTGAATGCTCGTTGTAGACTTTCTGTAGCTACCATCACCAAAACCGTGCGCATCCTTAGGCGATACAGTTAAAGATATCACAAACTCTTGACCAGTATCAGTTTGTAAACATAAATTTGTCGTTTCAAATAATTCGATTCTAGAACACTCTGCATGACCTATATGATTATGACGTTCTTCATGACCTATATGACCATGACGTTCTTCTTCTTCTTCTTCATCGCTACATATCACACTTCCTAATGAATCCTTATTGTGGAGAATTGTCGACTCAATTTCTTCTAGTCGAGTTCTCGAAAATCCTTTTTTTAAGGAAGACTTAGAAGACTGCGTCATACCAGTTGATGTTCTAGGTCCTCCTTTTGAGCTTGATTTGGTCTTATTGCAGTCAGGACATTGTCGAATTACTATTTGGATGTCCCCATCGTTTTCGTCACAACCTTTTATGCATATAACCACTTGGTCCTCATCCTGAAATTGAAGAAGAATCACTATAAATGGAGTCTGAACCAAGACGAAGCATCTAATAACTTAAGAAAACTTCTGTCTTACATTACTTCAACCTTCACATCAGCTGCACCCTACATATGGACGCATCAATAACTGGTATCAGAGCAACACTTCTCTACTACCGAGAATACGAGGGAGGCTGTTCTCATAGAGTACGAAAGTGAAAGACTATCAAAACGCAATACAACTATTCCCTTAGCGAGGTGGAGATCCTGGTCGCAGTAAGGAGTTTGATTATTTAACATACCTGGTGTACGGATGACTAAAACAAATAGACACTACAACACTAGGTATATGACATAGTTCTCCGGATTTTTCTAGAAAACCCAACGCATGACTCATATACAATAGAATTTCCTGAATAGTCTTGCTAAAAACAACTGGATTCCTAGAATTCTGACCAGGTTGCCAATGCAATTTCGTAAGTAACAATGGAATTTTTTTGCTTGTTGTGTAACAAACTCACAAAACATCTAACTAGCTCGTACTGTTCAGAAACTCTTTTCATCAGATTAGCAACTTTTCAATCGATCATAGCATAATGGGGCATCGTTGGTAATTCTATAGGTATAGAGCTTTCTAAAAACTTGTATTTCTTACACAACGACCTAATTATTTGTAAGAACTTAACTTTCACATTTATTGTTTGGCAAAATTATTGTATTTTTATTTTGAAATAAATAGAATAGAGGATTTATATTGTTTAAACGATTGTTTTTTTTTCTTTCGGTCCAACAGCAACATGTTGAGGGCGTCGGACTCCCCCTATGCTACGAGATTTTTGTCCGACAAATATGATATGGTTAAGATAACATACAGTTGATTGGAATTAAAACTCCAACAAGGTAAACCAAGTTGGACACTTGATAGGAAACGTCAATTTCTGAGTGAGACACATAAAAATTAACCCCTAATTCTGTGACTCAACTTTTATGAAATATTCATTGGCGCAAATCGCATTTTGATATCTTCAACCGTTTTGCGGCTAGAGGGAGTTTTTATATTTTAAGCAATACTGTGACAGCTTCATAACTTTTGTTTTCCTGGATATATTTGATTTCTGCATAAACTTTCTACTTTTGGTTATTTTTGAAGCAGAATGAGAACGTCACTGGACGTTTTCAGTTTTTTGGTATTTGGCTCTGATTTCAAGATATTGACCAAAGTCCATTTTTTTAACAGGGCACCCTTATATATTGAAAACTCATTGGATAGCGCCGCTTTTGCTGATTTCAACGATAAAGGATTCGATAGGTTTATTTTCAATAATAGACCTATCTATTTTTACCTGGTATGCGCGCGCAACACGAGGCAATGTCTTTCTATTGGCTAGCTAATACAGGTGTGAGGTGATCGTTTTGCACGCTGGGCATCTCTTTATCCTTGTTCATTGCACGTGGTCTGACAAGAATAAATCTAAAGTTGATATTCAACTTGACAAGTGTCATTCAAAAGTTGTTTGACAATTTCATTGACAAATACGTTGCACAACACGCGGTTTTTCTCCTTTCCTTTTTATCCTGTGCAAATAAGAAAGACGGATTGCTATACGTAAGTCTAACATAATTTGGTACGTTTTGCCTCCTCTTGCGCAATGAGCGTTCTGTGTCTTTTTTTATTTAATGAAGTTTTCGTATTATTACCTCCTTGTCTGGTAAAATAGATAGGTCTATTTCCGAAAATAACAGTCAAATCCGTTTTTGTCATAAGAACCACTTTGTTTTATTGGTATGGGAAACGGGAAAAGCCTTCTTTCTACTACATTGTTTCTTATGAAAAAAAAGCTATAGGTTATCTCGAAGACTTAAACCTATCATTGAAATCGGCATAAATAAAACTATCCAATGAGTTATCTATATACAGGCTGTCCTACTCAAAAAAGTAAGACGATGTTTCGAAATCGGTGTCAAATAGCATCTATCTCGCTCAGAAATTGACGTTTCCTTCCAAAAGTGTCCAAATTGGCCCATGGAAACGAGTATTTTTACGTTTGTAAATATTGCTTATCAGCAGAGCTTCTGATTTCTTGATTTACCGAAAGGTTCAAAAAGATGCGCAAACTGCCAAGGACCCAATTTTAACCTCAAGCCATTTGCTACAGATTCTTTAAAGTAGAACTAGAAATGGAATTTTGCGTATAAGTAATTTATACAGAATACACAAGATTCCCAGTTTTGCTTCGTAAGTGCTAATAGCATTTACAGATTGCGGAAACATCCAAAGGCACAAAAAACTTTAGTGTTACTTGTACTTGATATATTGCTTGAAACACTTCTTGCAAAAACATGGCTAGCAGCTCCTGAGTATAGAGATGCTTTTGTAATGACCCGGGAAACTAGACCGTAAATTACAATGTCTTTAATGTAAAAATTAAAAGTAGGTATAATCAAATAATCATAAACTGAATTTCAGGTATTTCAAATCAGTATCGATAAATTGAAAATGGAACAAATTAGCGTTGACCCAGAATTAATTAAAATATTTATATACGTTAAAATTTTATTATTTAGTCACCAAGAGTGATGTCATCTCCTAAATCAAATCAATGAACTTATTAAAAGCGAGGCCAAAGTAATTAAATCGGTGATTTAAGGCGCACGTGTTTGTCGGTTTTCTTTGAGTTGTCCTCACATACTTATACGAAATCTGTTGACCCCGATAAACCAGGAAATTGCGACATAATTATTCGATTTTAAACAAATAAAAGAGAAAGGTTATTGAATGATGAAATTTAGAATTTTTGGGGGAAAGAAACCTATAAATACAGCGGTTTTAGAAGTGGAGTACCAGTTATCAGTTGAGTTGAGTTTAAGTTCAGTCCAGTTTGAGTTAAAGTCAACAGTACCTAATGAGTCAGTCCGGATAAAAATTCGCGAGAGTTTCTTTTATTTTTGCCTCGGGGGTAAACGCGTTTGATTGAATCTTGAAATAGGAAATAGTACCGGAAAATTGTGAAAGAAAGAACATTTAAATTCGTTCAACATTATGTGCGTGCTCTAGAGATTTTTGAAGTAAATTAAATTAAGTAATTTTACGTGTGAAAAGTTAAATCTAAGTACTCTTGTGAGTAGTAGAACTTTTTGACTTTATAAATGATGAATGACTATGAAGTTAATTACCTTTGAACTTTATTGCGTAAATATTAATAACTCGAGTGTTTTGACTATGGAACATTATTGCATAACTTTATAATTAATTTTGCAAAGAGTTTAAAGGGGGAATTTATAATGCACTTAACAAGTATCGATTTTTAGTAGGAATTATTAAAGAATTTTGAATTGGATTGTCCAATTGAAGTTTAAGGGCTATAGTAACTAACTAATAGGAATTTAAATAATTGTGTATGTTGACAAGAAAGTCGAAAATAGTATTGTTCTGTTTAAATTGATCCTTAGTAAAGAGAACCATTAAACGTTATGGGTAGTTTTGAAAAGATACTTGATGTTCATGAAATAAGATCGTTTTCTTAAAGCATTTGAAAATTTTGGAAAAGTTTTGTTTGAAAATTGTTGTTCATGAAATAACATTGATGACCTTAATTGCTGAATTTTTGAATTAGGGTTTTATTTTTCATGTAGAAATTATTGTAAGGTTTTCATAAGGATATAGTTAGTAATACCTACAAACTCAATCCATTGAGTCGGATTATGATGACTTAAATAATTATTTTGCATAAGCAGTTAGTAAAGGACTTAGGAATTTTTAAGAATTTATAGATATAGGTGAAGGGTAGTTTAATAGGAATGTGAATCGGAAGTGTTGTAATGTATAAACTTATAAGTTATTGAGAATAGTAGAAGTAGGGCGTTTTTTTTTTGTATGGATATTTCCTGGTCCATAATAATGACATTTGAACGGATGTGAAATAATTTGAATTGGGAAAAATAGAAGTGGCTGTCAGAACAGAAAGATATTTGCTTGTTTAAAAATACCGCTCGCCATTTACCATCTAACTAATTAAATAGAGTACTTGAGGCGTTTTGCTACAATTTGTTGCTAATTTTTTATTTTGGGAAAATTATTTTGCGCCATTCCCTTTCTACTTTAAACTGTGATGGGGTTGCCGCCATATTCAATGTCGTGATGGCCAATACAGAGGCAGATCTTCAGACAATTATCAATACATTCTAGCAGATAAACAGGAGAATCGGCCTAGAGGTCAACTTTAACAAGACGCAGATTCTGCACCAACCCGCACTGGGTAGGTATTAATCCCTCCCAGCCCCAGATTTTTTATGCCGGATAAATGACCATTCTTTGCAAAACATTGAACACTACCCATACCTTAGGAGTCATCTGTCAGCGAATGCAACCATTGACGCTGAAATCCAACATCACTTGATGTGTGCTAGCGCGTCGTTCGGGCAACTTTGGAGAGCGTCTTCAACAATCACGACATCAGCGCTGAGACTTAACTTCGCGTCTACAATACAGCTGACAGCTGTAATACCAACACTTACATATGACTGCGAAACATAGATCACCTACAGAAGACACATAAATAGAAGCCTGAAAAAATACCACCAGCCAGCGATGTCTAAGAAGGATCCTACGAATTAAATGGCAATACCGACGAACGAATATTAGTGTTTTAGAGGAGGCTAAAACAACTAGCATGGAAGCCCTCATCGTTGAGCACCAACTTCGCTGGACAGGTCACCTCGTCCGCATGCCAGAAACACGTCTTCCACGACAGATTCTCTACAGTCAACTAAAGGAGGGAATACGAAATCAAGGAAGTCAACAAAAACGAAAAAAGCTACAGAGATGTTCTAAACGAAAATATGGCAAAGTGCCGATGCCGCATTGATACCAGCAATTGGAAGACGACGGCCGGAGGTGAAGGAGAGGCCCTCATGGAGTCCACCACGGACCAAAAACTTTTGAAGAACAGCGACACAAACACTAGACCGAGAAGACGGACCGCAGGAAGGAGCACAGAGGAAGGGTCGGAAGAAACAATGCTAGCATTGCCTGGGCTGGGGGTGCCAGACTGTGGAAGAGTGTGCGCCTCAGAATTGGTTTATATATATAGCCATCAGAAAACGCACAATCGACAAAGAATAGAATAGGAGATAATTATATTCGGTTTCGAGTGATTTCCTATGATGATAATATTCAAAGACCGAACTCAACTTGACAACACACAAAATTTTAAGACAATTCTCATTCAATCGGCCATTCATTCTAGCATTTTGAAAAATAGATAAAAATTCCTACCTCTAAACCTCCAGTTGAACCAATACAGTCCTTACAACAACATTTCTCATCATCACTTTCGTGATGATGAGAAATGTTGTGTTTACTTTCGTCATTCCATGGATCACTTCCGTAAGTGTGCTGGTCCATTTCATTCATCCATAATGGATCCTCATTAATAGTAAAAGATTTAGTTTTTTTTACTGATTCTGTTTTAGAAGTAGAAGGTCCATCATAAACCAATTCAGCTGGTGAACATATCGTGGCAACATCTTTACGTTCAGTGCCCAAATAAGAGCTTACATCTTCAAGATCGTATATGCACTTTACTATGACTTTTTTGGCACCGTATACATCTTTGACTTCAAGTTCTTGCTCGTTTTCCAATGAACTGGCTACTCGAGATTTTGATTCGTTCAACGGTATTGTACTTTGTGAAGGCATTACTATGTAATCATTCGATAAGAGTGCAAATGATGAATTATTATTATTTGCTAGAGGTTTGTTTAGTTTGAATATTATTTTGTTGGAATTAGTTGCTTCACTGTTTGTCAATGATAATGGGCCCGATTCTGTTTGTACAGAAGAATGTATGCCTATTAATTTATATAAAATTTCAAAATCGTTTCTTAGATTCTCCAAAGAATTATATAGTTCTATTATTTCCAAAAGCAGGGCGGTATTTACAAAAACGTAACCCGGTGGGTTCTTTAAGCTATTTCTATGCCTCTCCATATTCATGTTGATGGTGGACTTAATCTTCAGAATCAAACCAGTACTTTTCAAAGCATTAACAATGGCAGAAACTAGCTTTGAAATTTCTTTTACTTCATTGTAATCTTCAAGATTAAGAAAATGCTCCACATTAGAACTTTCCATTAATTTCTGAAGTATGAGGCCCAGTTTTTTGGAAGCTATGACCAATAACTGGTCAATGAACATATTATATCCGGCAGGTTTCAAGCTTTGGAGGCTCCTTTTTATTTCTGATGGAGACCTGGTTAGGCCGGTAATTGCTTTGTATGGCTTCATTTTGCATATTTTACCAGAAATTTTTGTTAAGCGAAACTAGACTATTGATGTGACAAATAAAATTATGACTGAGTCACTATGAGAAATGAAATTATAACCATAGAATTCGTTTTAAGGGGGGTGTAGAATGGAATCTCCCTTGTAAAAACAAAAAGTACAGGGTATTCCTAAATATCATGTAAAAACAGAAGGGGGTGATTCTTAGGTTTTTTTTATGACTGGATGACTGGAATTTTCTACCTCAATGGAAATTTCAAATTAGCATAGATTCGCTAATGCTTCGTTACGGATCTACAGGGTGTTGAAATTTCATTTTTTTTAAAAGTTTTTTTCTTATAAAGTCTGTCTTTTTTTTTAAAGATAATTCCCCAAGTTAAAAATCTAGTAACTATGTTGGCAACACAAGCCTTTTCTACATAAAAAATTTGAAACATTGACAATTTTACATTGCATTGCCAACAGAATGTCATTTTGACTTTTATCTTTAAAAAAAACAGATTTTAGATCCTGCAATTTTTGAGGGATCAAGCTCAAATTTGGGCTATAGTTTGTGACAAAATTGATATGTTATGTATTCATATTTTGGTAGCGTGAATAATTCTGTCACATCTTCCGTGGTAAATTATGCTGAAAAGTAAATTTGATCTGAAGCAGTAAATAACAGTTTTCTAAATCGGAGGCAATCTGGACGAAGTCTTCTTTCTTCTCTTTTTGGAGGGGTTATTGAAAGGTGTTAATACAGACTCAAAATTAGTACCACTTACCGCTTTTCTGCTGAAGCTGGAAACACCTTCTCTAACCGCACAAACCGGCACGTAAGATCTTTTTACGCCACCACCAGTGTTTTAATGGGGATTTTAAAACCAGAAAAGAAAAGACTAATTTTGAAAGATTAAAATTAATTTATTTAAATTGAAAGAAAAGAGAATAATTTCCCAATTAAAAGATGTTCAAAATCTGAGACTTTATTGGAAATTGAAATTAAAAAAAAAAAAACTATCACTTCTTTGGAGAGCTTTCCTTAAAACACCGGGCGGCAGATGAACTAGCGGATGAGGAGCGGATCGAGAACTCGTTGAGACTTGACGACTTAATTTTCCCGCGATTACTCGTGGTAAAATCCAGTCGCGAATTGGCGATAACTTAAGTTATGTGGCCTCTACATCTGCTTAAATAAGCAAAAGGAACCACCCTCTGGGTACCACTTTAGAAGCCCATTGGCTCCTCTCAGTACCGGGCTTGCGAGATTCGACGATCTCCATCCTCTTAGCTTTCAGCGATTCGCTGAAAGTACCCCTTGGTTTTTTGCCCTGTTCTATTGGTTTTCAAGTTTATCCAACCTTCCCCATCCAAAGTGCTCAACTCTGTGAAATTGATCCAGTTTGATGGCTCTTCAACAGATTTCGCTACTTACATGTTGTCAAATTATTAATTGAACATTTACTGTTTTCCCTTTAACTGAAAGCCCTTTTCTAATTACCTAATTGAATGTATAAAATAATGGTTCCCTATTTTCTATCCTAATTAAATGTATAAAATAAAGGTTCCCTAATTTCTATCCTAATTAAATATATAGAATAAAAGTTCCATAAATTCTAACCTAATTAACAAGAGTGTGAAATGATCTAAGCTCTCTAATGAGCTAAAATCTCTACTAATATAATAATAAAATAATTGAGTAATCACTCCTATCTTAATCTACCTATCTTAATTATAACTAAGCATTTGACTTATAGTAATAACCCTTGATGATAATATTATTATTATACAATCGGTTATTGCATCTTAAAAATCCAACTCATGTAATTATTGTTTCTCTACACACACATATGCTTCGAATACGCTACATTCTGACATCTAGGTCTGTTATAAAACGTGGGTCAGAGATTATTCTTGACTTTGAATAAATCATTACAACCACATGGGTCTGGTTTAGTCGAGAGATTAGTTTAAAGTTTAGTGTTTATCTCGGAAAACATAAATTTTGTCTATATATTTGTCAATTTTGGATTACAGCAATAATAATCTTGAAGCTATAAAATTTGATACTTTTCTGGCTAAGTGCTGCCAGTGTTTTTAAATTTCATCATAGGGTCGCATTTTAAGTATCTATAAAAATAAAACTTTTCCCACGAATAATGAATTTGAACCGAGAATATAAATTTGTTATTGATTTTGTTACAAGTTTACGCAATAGGGGGTAAATGATTGCACAATGCACATGTAAAACGTTTCATTAGCCAGAATCTACAGGGTGATACATTCCCCTTCTGGGGAATGCCCCTGAACATTTTCGGAGCGCGCCGTTGGTAGATTCTAAAAAACCGAAGAATCATCCCTTCGGTTTGTACATGATATTTAGGAACACCCTCTGTATATGTGGTGCCTTCTATACGGCTGGGTCTAAGGTTCCCGATGGTTGAGTTTCAACCTTCGGTTGAATCCTATCAATTGACCTTTTGTTTGGACGCCATATTGCGGTGCGCGAACATAGTTGCCAAAAGTAGAAAAAAAAATCACTAGCGTACTGTCAACATTAAAAACAAAAGTTACTGAATAAATTATACATTTAAAATATAAATTTGCCGCCTATTACGAATGTTTTTGAAAAGAAAAGCCATCAATTTTAGCTTGTATTGGGCAGAATAGAAATAATAACATATCTACCTATTCACTTTACCAAATTTCGGTTTCCTTTCTCAAGCCTAGTACTCATAACCGCGAAATACGCTCTTTTTTGACATTGCTTCGACAATTTAACGTTTTATGTGTGAATCGAACGTCAAAAAAGAGCGAATTTCGCGGTTATGAGTACTAGGCTTTATTGTTTATGGAATCAGAGAGAGAAAGTAAACAAACAAAAAGGATAGCGAGGATCAATCATTTAGTTACTTTGGTTTTAGATGTTGACAGCTCGCTAGTAATTTTTGTTTTCTTCTCTTGGTAACATTAGAGGCATATCTAATGGCGATTTCCATTTGTCAATCACTGCACACTGAGCGTATCCGCATCTTTTTCTAAAAGCATGTAACATGTAAGGATAAGGATACATTTTTTGCACTGGTTCGAAAATTGGAACGTATTGCGCTCAGCACTGTCAAACCACGTGACATTCAAGATGGCGTGGCGGCCACACATGGGCCAAAAAACACAAAAAAATATCTAGTTTCTAGTCAACAAATATTTTATTAAATAATGGAAATCAAAATTGTAAGCAAAACTGTATGCAAAATAATTTAAAATACGTATAAAAACATATTCAAAACAACCTTGCTTGGCCGCCACGCCACATTGAATTTTTCTTTTTGACAGATGGATTGAATTGCCTAATTAATAGATAAGGGTTTTATGGTTAGCTTTTGAACAGATGACACAGTTGTGAACAATTTTTTTAGCAAGGTTACGTCTCGAAAGAGGCCAATAAGTTTCACGCAATGAAGACAACAATTGCTGAGGACTACAATGCAAAAGCTTTCTATGTTCATCTCTAGCAATTAGTTTGGATGCCTTTTTCCATAATCAAACGCTGAGTTACCAAATCTACCTCCAACCCTGATCAAATTCTTATCGTCTAGAAAGGAATTCAAACCAAGCAGTTTGCTTTTTCGGTATAAAGGTTCTCCAGAAGATAAAGCTTTCATATCATTTGGAAAAGAGCGAGAAGATTTTTCGAGTTCTTCGACAGAAAGAACTCCCAAGAATAATGGATGATTTGTTTTTCGCAAATTAGTAGCAAATCTAAGACAAAATGCGATTACTCTACGAAGTTTATGATAGGATGAAAATTTCGAGAAAATGTCGAACTGTTCCAAAGAGCTAACCAAAGAAACTTCAGGTCGAGACTCCAGTATTTCTATGTAACAGGCTGAATTACTCGAAGTGGCAGTGGGCCACTCAGATTGATCCATGAGAAGCCAAGAAAGGTCATTCCACCACAACCCTGAATCTTCAAGATGTCTAGGATCAACGCCACGTGATATCAAATCCGCAGCATTCTTAGCGGACCTCACATGATACCAGTTGCAGATATCCGTCAGATATCCGTCTTCCGCAAAGGTTTTCCACCTTTGCGGTTCAGATTTTATCCAAGATAGGGCTATGGTGGAA